CTACTTTTAGTTTACGCTTTATACTCTTTTCAGATACATTCAGTTTTATTCGTTCGGTATCACATTAAATGTCTTTTAATGTGACGTGACTTAAATTCTTGTAATGATAACCGGAGAACTGAAGCGCAAAAACTCAATAGAGATTCAATGGGTTTTTAAATTCAGAGTTACAAAAGTCTTCAATCACGTTAAAGAAAATGTTTTTTCTGTCATTGCGCCAAACAAAAAGTATTCAACGGGACACCTTTAATCGCAAACATAATATTTTACAAAAGATTACTATATTTTGGTTTGTTTACAACAACACTGAAGAAAGTACTAAGCTTTGAAAGGAACAACAAGTTGGCGTACGTGTAATTGGTAAAGTAATATACGACGAGCAAACCATAAAGTGTGCGTTACCATCTTGAAAACATATACGAAGAAGAGTGTCTCGCGTTTATGCTCATAGCACGTATGCGAAGATATTGGCAACTCGGTATCGATTATTTCTTTTTTTCTCCTGAGAGAAGCCATGTATAAATCATTTGACTGAAATTTTGGAAATGCAAATGACATGGTGATCGATGCGCAATTTACTATTATATCCAACAAGAGAGAAGGGAAAATCTGAATGGCTGTTATTTATGAGCTTTAATCGTGCAAGAGTGATGGATGCGTCTGTACACGCGGATAATAAGTTATATGCGATGCTGATTAAAATTTACGAATTTATTATCCGTTTTAAATTTTCTTCGTTTTTCTTTGTTTTGTCGCGTAATTTTTCGCCAATCAATGAAGCATTCCTCGCGACGCGGCGAGCGCGCATCGCGTTAAAAGCACTTGCCTTCGCAAATTTATCTCTCAAAGCGACAAAAATAATCATCGCACACTGTCGATTGTATGCACAGTAGGCATGAGCATTAGCCACAAATTATCTAGGCAATTTTTCACCTGCGCCATACAAAATTTCGCCAGTAATTCATCGAAATTTTATGTAAGTATATAAATGCGAAGACATTGACAAAACGCTGTAAAACACGCGGATGGAAATATTTGACGTCGGTTCTCTCGCTCACTTTGCGCGATAAATTTCCCCGGAATTCCGCTATTCTCGACTCGCGCGCTCGCGGTATAATCGCGCGTGGGCAGGTGGGGACCTCTCTCTCTCTCTCTCTCTCTCTCTCTCTCTCTCTCACTCTCTCGCGGATGACACGTTTACATCGTTGCGGATAAATCAAAACCTACGTTAGGATGATTTCACTTGACGATTCGCACGTGTGTGAAATTGCATCGTTGGCACAAACAGAAATTTAAGATGTGTGTATTTTTACTGTTTTTAGAGAGCTTTCGATGGAGAGCTTTCGACTTTGTCGTAATTTTTAGTCGTTGCTGTGACATAGTTACTTTCCGATGCAAGAATAATAATGATTTCAGTTATCGATTTCCAAAGCTTCGAAAACGACGCTACATAATTGAGTTATTGTTTTGTTTTTGCTACCATCACGATTTGAAAGCTTTCTTTATACATCATTTTATCCCAACATTTAAGCGATCACGTTTGATAAGCAATGCCTGGCAATCAGTAGTAACAGACAGAATAAGGTCAGGCGCAGCGATAATTTTGAACCGCGCAAAGAAAAAAAACAAGCCGTAATTCATCCGATCCAAAATCAAATTAAAGCAGAAGAAGGAGAAGAAGAAGATGAAGAAGAGGCGGCGGTGTCTTTCTGGCGCGAAATTCCCTCGACGTTTTTTTTTTTGGACGATAGATTAACGTCCTAAGACCGTCACCACAAATCATTATTAGCATATTATCGGCAAGGCTTATCGAGAGGGCGCGACTTCAAATAGAACTCGCGTCGCCGGTAAATCAGACGATTATTCATTCGTTAACAGACGTATAATTACAAGAGTGCGCGCAAGAGACTCGAGCCCATCTATCCGCGTTCGTTGTCGCAGCCCTCGCTCCAAGAGAGCCGCGACGTCGATTTTTTGTCCCTGTTATCGGGATTCGAAGGGCGAAGGAGCTGCGCGAAGCGATGATTAAAATTATTCGTCGCACCGTTCCCCGGCTGGTTTTCGTTGCTCGAAATCGACGCGCGCTTTAACAATGATAGTCCGCGGCAAATTGAAAAGCGCAGGCAGGTTAGCGTGGGCACTAAGTGTAGACGTGATAAGCGCTTCGCGAATCGATATTAACGCGAGCGTCGACGGCGCTATAAAACGGATCATCGTCGAGCGCGCAAATCAAACGACTATATGGAGAGGATGGGCGCGAGTGCAGCGAAGGGGTCAGCCAGCCATCAGAGCTCATCCCTACTCGGTTATATAGCTCGGCTCTCTCGCTGCAACGCCTGTAACGCACCCGAAAATTAATCGGCGTGGGCGCAGCCGATAACGGATGACGCCGCCGCCAAACTGCCAGTATATTTTACTTTAGCCAGAGAGAAGCCACTGCAGCCGTGCTGCTCGCACGTGTCTGTTATTTCGCGAGGCAGTCGCCTGTCGTGCGACATACCGACCTACCAAAGATTTACATACTCCACGTGCACAGATCGCGACCGATGTTTTTGCCGGAATAATCTCATGGCTGATGAGACTTTTGCCTCGGCTAACTGTTTATTAGGCTGCATCTTGTGTACAACCAAATATCATTGTATACGTGGAAGCTCGACCAAATTTCACGACTTTTATCGACAAGCTCAATTTTTATACTAAACTCACGATATTGAGATATATGGCTTTTGTTCATTATTCGATAACTTCTCTTTCAATCGATAGCCGTTGGCCACTTGACATTTATAAAAGCCGCCAACACTGACTGCCATCTGTGAATCAGTATTTTAAGTATGAAATGAGGTTCGAAGAAAGGAGCTTATATGATAAAAATATAGGTTTTTTTTTAATTGTGGAACAAAGTAACCATATAAAATTAAAAATTATCTCGAAAGGGCTGTGTGTATTAGCTATATAACAACCATTCAATAATTTTTCAAGCATTCATTTTAAGTAATTAAAGATTCATGCTGTTGCGAAATGGAATAAGGACAAAAAAATAATTTTAATGCTCCAATCAGTGAAAACGTACCCTGTAATTGTCTGAAAAACAGAATTGATTCTGAAAAATGCGTGTTCGTGTAAAATATTTATACTCAAAACTAGCTTGGTGGGACAAAGGTCTAATCACTTTTTCTATAAACATACCGAATTAAAAAACTTTAAGGGTGTTTTAAAATTTACAATTATTTAAAATTAAAAATTACAATTTACAATTTTGTCCTAATCTAAATAGGACAAAATCTAGTGATTAACTTTATCAGAACCACGGAATAGCAATTAAAAATTTGTTTGATTGACTTAAGGGACTGCGTGAATCGATGCCATATCTTCCGATTATAGCCGTTTTAAAAAACCCAAGTGAGTAAAAATCTATCCAGTGCCCATGTATATGTACTGAATGAAATATTTCAATTTGATCACTATAGATAATTATTGTATAAAATTGACGCGATCCAATAAAGAATCTATTTCAATCATAAAAATATGCATTGGCAAGGTCTACATTATCTCAAGTAGTTCTACAAAATTTACCTTACATATTTTTTCATGCACACAACTCGCCGCCGATCAACCGCAAAATCAGTATAGCTAGAAAAATTTTGCTGCGTAGAGGCAAATTTGCTTATAACAATACGTTTATTTTCCTCGATATTGAAGATTAACAATTTTATTTGCATTTGCTTTCTTTCATTTTCAAAAATATGTTTAATTGTATTACGGCGCTAAACTGTTGAAATTAAAAAAATTTATTAAGAATATTCAATAGAAATTGAGTTGCACATTGTCCTGAATCTTTACCAAATTCGAATGTTGATTATATCCTTCTGTTTTTTAATTTAAATTAGAAGTACAAGCTTATCCCAGGTATAGACATTCAAAAAGTCAGAAAGAAATTCAGCAAATTTTTCCAACTTACGGCGATTGCATAAAAATTTTCATATCTTGGTAATTATTTGTCGACTTGCAATATTCATCGGTCGCAGGAGCTTTGCATTCAATTAGCATTGCAACAGGGAAGGTCGTCGCCGATATAGTAGCTCCCTGTCACTACTACGTATACCTATATATATATACGTAAATATATGCAAATAGTATGAATCCGCGTGTGCGAAGGGTGTACGAGAAGAGGACCCCCAGCACACAAGGGTCACGACTTTTTTTTTTTTTTTGAAGTTTTACAAGGACCAACTAATAAATGGTAGCCAAAAAAGTTGTTATATTTTTACAGTATATATAATGTATATTAATTTAGTGATTATCTTACCAAATCTAATTCTGGGTGTTATGTTTTTAAGACCTTCCGGTTGTAATGTCGATTGAATCTCAAGTATATCGATTTGCCAGATTTAAATTTAAAGTTTCGTAAAAGTTTTTACTGAAGAGATTAAATTTGGAATATATCTGGGAAAATTCTGAATATTTATGACCATTATTAATTAATTCGATGAATTCGGAACAAACGTGGAAAATGTTTATTTGTAGAAAATGTGTAGAGGGTAAAACAGGAATCTTCATTGGTATGTATTGGTATCCGACGTTCACTTGAGCCTCGAAACTCATAAAAATAAATATTTATTTAATCACAATAAGTTTATTATGTTATCATTATAAATAAAATAGTTATGGCTATAAATAATTCTTATATTTGGATCAAGCATTTGTGAAAAAAATCATTATATATATATATATATATATATATATATATATATATATATATATATATATATATATCGATATACACCAGTAAAAATATTAAAATCAGATATAAATAAGTTTATCTCTATTATAACTTATTAAATACTTTTATCTAAGAATTCGCCAGGCCGTAATATGTTATTCCGGATGCCTGAGCTGAGCTGAGCCTAATTTATACGATTTCCGTACTGTCATGAAAGAATAAACATAATGTATGTATATATATATATTTCGAGTGTCCATCGAGTTTGAGTGTGTGCGTGTGACGTCATACATTGCTGAGACCAATAGGTCCAAAGTCCACCGAAGCACCGAAGGCCTGCAACAAGTCCACCAACAAATCGCTACTCATTTTCACGATAATCCGTTAGTTATACGCCGTAAATTTAATACGAGATTAAATTTATATAATAAGATATTGTTCTTTATTATCACATTTTTCCCCAATAAAATCGTTTGTTTTCTTCAAGCTTATCTCGTTGAAAGTTGAGAATCTCGAACGAGACGTATCAACGGTATACTCCCAGACTTATACTCCGTAAATAAGTATAACTATTAAAGCGTCAATTGGAAAAATTAATGATGGCTGGAATTGTTGCTAAACATCTTCCTCGCTACAATAATACTGTGCCTCAAGGTAATTGTAACTCTCAATTGTTTATATTTGATATTCCAAATAGCACAGTAAAAAACCATATCCAGCTTTGATAATTAGACAAAATGATTAATCATCATGTATGAGTGACCGATATTAAAAAATAGTTGCTAAAATATAAAAGGATAGTTGGGTTAAGGAATATTGAAATTTTCCATTCTTACAACGTTATGCCAAAATCTAGAAATTTTCTAACTGTATTTTAGAAAAATTTTGCAGTAGAAAATATTAAGGTCAATAAAGTTCACAGAAACTGCTTAATCATCATAACTTGTTGATCTTATTTGTTTTTCATGTAAGATTAAAATTCTAAGTCTACCATAAATTAATATGAACATTTGACTGTTGATTTACTTTCATAGTGATAATGAATGCCAATATGTTAATTAGTATAAACTTAAATTTTTTGTTATTTTATAATTCCAGCTACTGTTATCTGGAATACATTATACTTCAATAAAAAAAATTATGCAACTGCATCAAAGCCTTCTTCAGGAAAGAAAAATATTGTATATATTGATGGAGTGAGAACTCCATTTTTAATGGCGTACACTGATTACAGCAAACTTATTGCTCACGATCTTGCTAGAGAGAGTCTCGTGTAAGTATTAAACTATCAGCTAATTTAAATTCAATTTTGATCTAATCAAATTTTTATTGTTGTGAATTTTCCATTTTTATTTCTTAAAATCAATAATTATTTTTCTACTTTCATTATAGTAATCTTCAAAAGAAAACTAGTATTCCAAAAGAAGCTATAGACTATGTAGTGTACGGTACTGTAATTCAAGAAGTAAAGACTTCCAACATTGCCCGAGAAGCTTTATTGGCTGCTGGATACAGTGAGCACACTCCAGGTCATACAGTCACAATGGCTTGCATAAGCAGTAACATGGCTATAACCACTGGTGTTGGATTAATAAACTCTGGAGTATACGATACAATTGTTGCTGGTGGCGTTGAATTCATGTCTGATGTTCCAATTAGGCACAGTAGAGCAATGAGATCATTAATGCTCAAAGCAAATAAGGCCAAGACACCAATGCAAAAGCTTGGATTGCTTGCTTCTATCAGAGGAAAGCACTTTGTCCCAGATGTAATTTTTTTCTGTATCTAAAGTTATTACAATTGTTTATTTGAAATTAATCTTCATTTCGGAATATTTAGTTGCCAGCTGTAGCTGAATTCTCTACTAATGAGACTATGGGACACAGTGGAGATAGACTTGCTGCAGCATTCAATGTATCAAGAGAGGAGCAAGATGACTATGCTTTGCGCTCACATACACTTGCAGCCCAAGCCCATCAAAATGGACATTTAACAGATATGATACCCATAGTCGGTAAGTATCAAAAAGAAAATAACAATACTTATACTTATTTTATGGATTTTCTTTTAAATCTTACCTTAATGTGACATTCAGTTCCAGGTGTTAAAGAAGCTGTTAGCAAAGACAATGGTGTTCGTGTATCAACAAAAGAAACACTTGCCAAATTGAAGCCTGCTTTTGTAAAGCCATATGGTACAGTCACTGCTGCTAATGCTTCTTTCCTTTCTGATGGTGCTTCAGCAGGTTTAATTATGACAGAAGAAAAAGCCAAGCAGTTAGGATTGAAACCAAAAGCTTATATTAGGGAATTCACTTATGTTTCCCAGGATCCAAAAGATCAACTTCTGTTGGGACCTGCATATGCTATCCCAAAAGCAAGTTTATTTTATTAACATTTACATTGAATGCTCAATAAATTTATTTTATTGACCTGCATTATTTTGTTTAGGTTTTAGACAAAGCTGGTCTAACTTTGAAAGATATTGGTGTATGGGAAGTACATGAAGCTTTTGCAGCCCAAATTTTAGCTAATTTGAAAGCCTTAGATTCTGATTTTTTTGCCCAAAAGTATCTAAATCGCTCTCAGAAAGTTGGCGTTCCTGATTTGGCAAAATGGAATTCATGGGGAGGTTCTCTCTCTATTGGCCATCCTTTTGCTGCAACTGGTATCAGGTTAACTACTCATGCAGCTAACAGAATGATTAAAGAGAATCAACAATTCAGTTTGATTGCAGCATGTGCAGCTGGTGGACAGGTAAAAAAATGCAATTTTTGTTAACTAAACATTTAATTTTATAAATATTCATTGCATAATTGTGAAATAACTTTTCAGGGTGTTGGAATGATTTTGGAGAGGCATCCAGATGCAAAACTATAAGGTGTAAAATTAGGTGATTAAAGTGGAAATCATGGTACTTTGTTATTATAGTATAAAGAATTGAAGATCTAACATTCTACATATAATTGATACCAGCAAGTTGTATTCGCTTTTTGATTTTTTACACAATTTATATATATTTTTATAAAAAATTTGAGCAAGAATTTTATATCATAATATAGTTATCAGAATAAATATTAATTAACTTAAAAATATTCTGCTTATTTATTTTAAGAGTTCTATAAATGACTCAAATAAAAGAATAGGTGTTGAAATCATGTTTATTAAAAAGAAATTATAAATAAAAAATGTGATTATTTTATAAATTTGTTTGTACATTATAAAATTTTTGGAAATATTTCCAGTCCGTAAAAAAATATTGCTTTGAAAATTAAACTTGTTTGTCTAGTGCAGTAGTTACGGAAAATATTTGCAAATGATCTTTGACAGCTTGGTCAATAATATTTCTAATGTCTTTGCAACCTTGAAGTGCACGCAGTTTTAAAGGTTCAAGCCTTGACAAATGCAACCTTTGGCCAGCACCATGAGCCAATATCACAGAACTTTTAGTTTCTGTTTCATCTACAATTTTTGGAAGTGCTACAATTGATAAGGTAACACCTGGAGAGCATTCTTCTATCCAATTGGCATCAAGAATTCCTGTGCCTTGTTTTTCTTCATCATCATCTCCGAAGAGATTATCTGACACTGTTATAGAACACCCAATAGCATAATCCTAAGATAGAAAAATAATTTTAATACCTCTTGAGAAGCTATCAAATATCAAATGTATACCTTGATTGGTATCCCAGCATCAATTAAAGCAAGAGTTGCAGCATTAACTGCTACACAAAATTCACTTCCATCTGCTTGTAGAACTTCAACAAAAATGTCTATTTGTGATTTGGCGAAAAGTTCTAGATTTATAATTGCCTCCATAGCATGCCTCAGCTGCAGTGATCTCTCTTGAGATTTTCTGTCACCTCTTGGCTTCTTTTTCCTTTCTCCAGCTCCAAAACTAAATACAGCTGTACTGAACTGACAATTTACAACACCTTTCGTGGCTTTTGTAATACTAGCAGCAGATTTACCTCGAGGCTGAAAGCGAGTTTCAGAAATTGATTTTATAAATCTATACTCTAATTTTTAAAATATATGTAAATTAAAAAAAATACCTGGTGAGGTCCATAAACAGTTGCTAAAATCTTCGTTTTTCCTTGTTCTAAATAAGCACTTCCATCTGCTTGACTAAAAACACCTAAACGTAATCTAATTCTCCTTAACTCGAGTGGTCTTCTTCCATCAGTTCTTAAACCACCTTGTGTTGTATCAATTTCTGGTTCCATGGTGAATGAAAAATTCCACTTTCACAAAACAATGTTTTTATCCTCAACACTTGTATTTTTAATTTTGATACACTATATTTATAATCTTATTTAATATCAAGCTAATTAACCTAACTCCATTATCACTTTTTTCGAGTAATATTAGATTAATTTATTTTTAAATTATAAAATTTTTAATAACCGCTAAATTAATTGAACTAATTTCTCAATTAAAGTTGTATTAAAATTAATATAAGTTTTTTGGTGATTTTATCAGAACTGCATACGTACTGCACACGTGAAAAAATTTTGTTTATATGTATATGTTTAGAAACCGGTGGATATATATGCTGCATGAGTTTTTAAGGTTATAATTGTAACTTGAATATATTGATAGATCGACTATAAAATATCCATGGTAGAGTTTTGGAATTCGAAGTAAGCATTTAAAATAAAATAAATGTCATTCGTGATTAACAAATATATTTCTTATACTATAAAAGTTAATATTATTCATTAATGTTAATAATAAAGATAACGCTTTGAATGAAATTGACAAGATTGAAAGTCATAAAAAACAAATAGAATCAACAATTATAAAAATAATGACATTGTGAACAAAATCGAGCCGACAATTATTTAAAGAAAGTGATGAATAAAATACAAATTTAAATCAAATTTTAGATTTTCGAACAAAGTGGAACGAAACACCACAGGAGTAAAAATATCGAACCGATGGTACTTAGCGAACCATCCCGGCAAAGCACCTCCTCCGTGCGCGCCTCCCCCTCGTATGTCACACACAGAAAAGAGAAGAGAATCTCACATCTCGATCGCTTGTGCGCGTTTTAGATGTGTTAGTACAGCATCATCCGAGCAGTGAGAGTCGTGCCCCCTTAGTCGTGTCTAAAATCGTGTGGCTGCCGTGCATCGCAGTGCGCACAATAATAGCGAGGAAAAGAGAGATAAACGGAGCACCACCCCCGAACTCAGTAGCTAAGCCACACGAGTTGGGACTATATATACACACGGAGTGAAGGAGAGAGCACGAGCAAGGCGTTCTCTCGTCGTGCGTCGTTTTATTGTGTCTGCCCCTATGGCCGAGCATCAGCAGCAAAGACGGCGACGACGGCAACAGCAGCGGATGCTGCGACGACGCCGCGATTCGCTTAATGGCTAATCCTATAACACGATCGTCATCATCGTCGTCGTCGCCAGCAGCAACCACAGCCTCAGCATCATGAGTGCCGTTTACCTATTTGCTTTACTGCCCTGCCTCACCCTTGGCTTCCTGGGTAAGTTGTGCGTGTTCATATATATGTGCGTGTATGCGTTCATATGTGTATGTCGGGATCTGTGTTTTGGTTTCGACGATACGCGAGGATGCAGTAATCGTGTACAAAGAGGGGAGTCATGTGTAATTCTACTCTGCTTACAATCAGTACAATTTTGTTGTTATTAGCTAACGTACACGCTTCTGATTTAGTTTAAGTGCTTGATGATTCTTAAAAGCCTCTAGTATAACTACTATGATTTGTTATTTATGCAACTGCTTAAAGTTAATCTGCTACCCTTCATGAACCATTCAGTGCTAGTGGGGTTTGGGATTTGTCGAGGTATAAGGGAAAAAACTTGCTCACCACTTTTACTCTTACCGTGTTTACTTATATTTTTTCTACATCTTGCTGACATTATATAAAAACTAGCTGGCCTTTTATCTTAAGATTCTATCTTGCGCTGAATCAAAGAAATCTGGAATCACAAATCTTATGTGTTACATTTCTATATGTGAGGATGTACCAAAGAAGAAATCTTTTTACATTATTGAAAAGTTCAAGTGCAAACATTTCATTGGTTGTTTCTGTGCTTTGATTATCAGTGATTACTGTTTGAAGAACATATTTGTTTTTGAATGTTTCTTAAGTGAATTATTATTGTTAACCAATAATCTAATAATCTTTGTTTATAATTTGAACCGTGTTGATATTAAAACTAAAATGCATTTTCTAAACTTTGAAAGCATGTAACTGTAACATGTGCTATTCAAGTTTCTTTTTACTCAATCATGACTTTTAGACCCAATAAGTGCCCATGATGTCAAAGGATCACAATTTTGTCAGTTTTACAATGAGACAATGTGTGGAGGAGAGTTCAGAGAAGACTGTGTAGAAAGGGAACAATGTGGACCACATGATCCTGACAAACGTAATCACTGTTATGTTTTATGGCAATATGACAGCATTACTCATAAATCTACTATTAAGTTAAAAGTAAGTAACTTTATTATTATTGTAAACTTTTCATTCCAGATACATATCAAAACTATATTTTTTCATGAAAAGAAAAATTAACAATGTAAAATTTATTTTACAGGGCTGCTTTTTAGATAGCAAGGAGTGTTATGACAAGCAACACTGCGTTGAGAAAAATGCAGACAGGAAAAAGCAGCACTTCTTCTGCTGTTGTGACGGTAATATGTGCAACAAAAACTTCTCATGGGATCCACAGCCCACGCAACCGCCACATGTTGTACACGGTAAATACATCTAATTTCCGACTTCTTGAGTAAGAGTCGTTTAAAAATGTAATGTAACGTTTTCTATTCTTAAATTACAGAAATCGAACCCGTTCGAAATACAGAGCAAGAGTTTGTAACGCTTGTACTGTCGATTTCTATTCCAATGCTGGCGCTTGTAATCACTCTCTCGGGAATATTTTATTACTATAGACGTAAGAAGTTGGGATACTTTAATGAGGTATGTAAAAAATCGCCAGTTTGGTTTGTCATAATCATTTTTAGAAATTACTATCTTTTATCTATCATTTTTAGTTACCCACAATGGATCCCGGTCCACTGCCACAGCCTTCACCGAACCTCGGCAATCGTCCCATCCAACTATTGGAGATAAAAGCCCGTGGACGTTTCGGAGCTGTGTGGAAAGCCCAATTGAGAAACGAAGTTGTAGCCGTGAAAGTATTCCCCATACAAGACAAACAATCCTGGCAAACAGAGCAGGAAATCTTCAAACTTGCACACATGGATCACGAAGATGTGTTGCGATTCATTGGTGTCGAGAAACGCGGTGACAATTTACAAGCTGAATTTTGGTTGATTACGGCCTACCACGAAAAAGGTTCACTATGTGACTATCTGAAAGCTAACGTGGTCTCGTGGCCGGAGATGTGCAGGATTGCTGAATCTATGGCCAGGTTAAATTTAATTTTCCATTTTACAATGTAAATGTACATTTAAAAATATATATTATGTGTGATTACAGAGGCCTAATGCATCTGCACGAGGAAATTCCAGCTAACAAAGCCGACGGTTACAAGCCGGCAGTGGCTCACCGTGACTTCAAATCCAAGAATGTGCTATTGAAGGCTGATATGAGTGCTTGCATAGCGGATTTCGGACTCGCGTTGATTTTCCACCCTGGTAAACCATGTGGTGATACTCATGGCCAAGTGGGTACCAGAAGATACATGGCACCAGAGGTACTTGAAGGAGCAATCAACTTCACCCGGGATTCTTTCTTGCGTATCGACATGTATGCCTGTGGACTCGTGCTGTGGGAACTAGCTTCAAGATGTACCGTACAAGACGTGAGTTCTTATTATTAACTTAATAGTTCATTTAAAATAATTTGTTAATCCAGAAAGTTTAAAACGATGCGGAAGATCATTTTCGACATTAGATAATGATTCAGATTAGCGTGATTGACTCTTGTTAAAAGACATTAACAATTTATCATTTTAAATATACTATTAAACTGTTTGATGAATAAATTGCTAAGAATGAAACGTTTTACTTTAATTTAAAGTTATTTTTGCATGGATTTTTCAATGCAACAAATGTATTACTTCACGATAGTATTCGTTATAATTTTTGAAATTCAGAACAATAATTATTAGTGCAGCACTGGTACAAGTCTCGAAATCATCAAGGATTTCGACTTTACGATGAAACTTATAAATGGAAATTACACGTTCTTTTTTTGTAGGGACCGATCGGCGAATACAGATTGCCTTTCGAGGAAGAAGTTGGCCTTCATCCTACACTCGAAGACATGCAAGACAGTGTTGTCCACAAAAAGGAAAGACCATTGATATTAGAAACTTGGCGCAAGCATCCGGTAAGATTTTTTATTAAAACGATCGCTTCTTTTTTAAATTTAGATGAATTTGATAATAAAATATATAAATCAATTCGGTAACCTACTTTCCTTTGAACTGAAATACAGTGATGTATAAATACGCCGGCTCTTTGTTTTAAGAAATTGGATTTCAAGCACGTCATTGCAACGTTTATTATCGACATTCTGACATTACCGCGTACTATAAAGTAATAATTAGTTATTAGAAATTAAAAAGTAAATTAAATTTGCGATCAAACGATTTTCAGTAAGATCGAATTAATTTTTTGTAAGTCTTCAATATTTTCTTTATCAATATCGAGTTATTGATAGCCAAAAAATAAATGTTTAAAAAACCAAACATTAAATATTTTATAGGGTCTATTGGCATTCTGCGACACGATGGAAGAATGCTGGGACCATGACGCAGAAGCTCGTCTGTCAGCATCATGCGTAATGGAACGAGTAGCGTCGTTAAGCCGAAGCATGGTACTGAATTCGTCTACGTTGATTCGCGTGGACAACACAAACGAAACCCTTGGCACGAAGGAGTCGAGCATGTAGGCACGTGTACAAATCGGCACAATTGAGTTCTCTTGAGCTGTCATTTTTATTAAATTATGTCCTTTGGTGGTAACGACGAGATTACGGAGAAAATTTATTATTGGGAAAATGTTCTGTAGAATTCTGCCTGACTCTTTTTTTTTGTTATATTATTCACTCTCCGCGATCATATACGTCAATGGGAAACAATAACGGCATGTAGCCATAGTGCGCTGACTTGCGTGTTGCTCGTTTTAATTCCCCATTTCGTAGCTTCTAGATAACCAATGCTGCCGTTTGAATATTAACTTCTTCGGTAAGCCACACCTATCAAGCGCGTTTCATCGTTTCTCCCGTGTTGGACTGTTCATTTTTTTTTCATTGGTGATTACGTCGCACGCACGATGTCGCTTTGTTGACTGACCTTCGACAAAATATTTAGCTGCCAAAAATGCCACTATCGGAAATGGCTAGCGAAATAAGTCTTTTACTGACCTTGAATAATGTACATATTGTTTATTTTGAAACAATCGTGTATATGTATAATTTCGTTTTTAAAGATAAATCCGGATGTTTGAAATTTGTTGTCCAAATTGTTATATAATGGCTTCACTATTGATGAAAAATTTATTACCGACTGTTACTTCACTGCCTCGAGACTTATCTTCAAGACTCTTCATTGATAATACGTCAAATTGAACTTAGTCAGCCAAGTGTTTGTTAGATATTTGCTCATGAAGTAATTTCAAATGGCCGATAATGATTCACGCCACACTCTTAAAAGTTTTACCGAGGAGATAGCGTTGTAGTTGGTAATATTCGTTTGTTTTTCTTTTTCTTTCTCGATACTAGAATCAATCAGTCCGAACTATGCAAAAATAACAATCTCATCTTACAAAAAAATATCGCATGTCCAAGTATTCGATGGATAAAAACAAAGTCGATTAAAGTGGCATTCCTTTCTATCCCTTAGTTACTCGAATGTTAATGGTGTGTCGTTATACTATATCATAGATTTATAGCTTATTATATTATATATAACTCGATGCTTTGTAAATACCTACAACGATAATAATCATATGAAGTGTACATTTATAGCGACTTTTTTAAAAAGCCTAACAATATATCGGATACAATTATATATAAAAATGTTACATCTGCTTTTCTCGTGAGCTGTATCTTGATTCCCATTGACGCGCAAGCCACCGTGAAATTTTTGAGAAAGTTATAACCACTCGAGGCGTACTCGTTTACAGTAAGCTCGACCGCAATGTATAACAATCGGTTTCGATGAAACTAATTCACATGGTACAAAGACATTTTCTTTTTCTTTTATGTGTAATATTATATAGATTTTCGTTCGTGCGAGTACGTATCGTTATGTATGACTTTCTTGGAGCAAGTAGAGCCAAGAGACAGAGAAAAAGACAAAGCGAAGAGATACACCGGTGAAAAAAGAGATGAAGGTTTATTACGATGTACCTGGTAGGCAAAGCCGATCTATTTGGTATGGACACGGTTCTCTTCGTAAAAGCGAGAAATTTTTTGTACGTTCCGAGATAATGCGAGAATCCTTGACTGGTGTAAGCTGTACAAAAAAATACGAACGCAATGTCCGCCCTAAACATTTTTTACACTCTCACACGTACATATGAAGGGATTTAATCATCGACGATTCTTCGTTCGTCTTCCAAGGTGCGCAATATTCTCGCTTTTTTACTTCCGTTGTAATCCTTAGTTAGGACGCTTATATGTATCTCTCACTGACTTTATTTTTTTCGTTCCTCCATTTTTATTGTAGTATATGAAGCGTGTCGATGCTATTCGCGTGTATTTTTCATGTCGAAATGCACAAAGAAAAAGAAAATAAAAGTTAGGAGAAGATATGTAGGTTGAGGGAGAGGGAATAGGAGGCGTGGATTATTTAGAGCTTTATACATTTTAGAAATCGACGCGCGTGCCAAAAAGCCAAGCAGTTAATCCAATTGAAAACGCCGAGCTTCTCTATTTGGTTATACCATGCGAAAGAAGAAAGACTCGTTAAGAATGTTATTGTATGACGATTATAAGTATATATCAGAGAGACGAGGGTGAAGCAAAACGAGGTGTACCTAATACAAATAATTATCGTACGATGCTCATTGAATATTATCGTATAATAATAGATAATAATTTTGTCGACGTTACAAAAAAGAAAAAAAATACAAAGTGTGTGCGAGAAAGAGAAATGTGTATATCGATTGTGAACACAACAAAAAATATACAAATATAGGAGCTTTTTTTTTGAATATAAAGCCCCAGACATATCGGACTGTGGACGACAAGTACGACATGCATATTTTTTACCAGCTCGCGATCATATTAGGGTAGAGCGACAAATGTGTATAGACCAGTCGAGCAGTTGTTGTTTCATTTTATTTTTATTTTTTATAAACAGGAAAAAAAAACGATATGATTTCCGTATGGAAAATCTAAAAGACTACCAGTTCTAAATTTTACATAAATGATTTATATGAATGTTGTAGTAATTGTTAAAAAGCTGTTGACAAATCCGCATTACTAAATCATTATTGCGTAATATGTTCCGTTCTTTATTTGTATATTGTTACACGTATGATAATGAATTTTTGTAATCGGTATTGTGTTTATCGATCGATATTTTCGAATCAAAAGTGATGATGACTGCTCGATATTAAATTATTTAGCTAAACGAAGAGGGACGTACACATCCACCGATTCTAGAAACTGTCTAATAATTTATCAGTACTGTTTATCAATGTTAACCAGAGATTGATCGGGCTTATTAGTATAATTTTTATCACTCATGAACGAGGAGTAAAAAAATTACTATAGCAAGTTGGCGTACGATGAATTTTTGTAAATATAAAAAAACAAAAAAATATAAGTTCGGTTATAGGGTATAATTGCTGTTAATTTTGATAAGTTGTAAATAATACGTTTTTCGTCGATCAATTAATATCGCTTTGATGAGTTTTTAACTAAAAAAAGGGAAAATCTTTTTATACACTTTTACAAAAAAAAAAGCAAAAATCCGAAAAAAATGTATGTTCATACCGCGTGCGCGTGTATAGTGGATGGAGCCTCCGTTAAAACTTTTCCGTTCGCGACAAACGTCAAATCGTAAATCGTCACGTAAATGTCCAATTATTTTTTTTCACCGAGCGGAATGAAACTTGTCTGTGATGAAATTCTCAAGCCAGAGTACAATTTTTAAAGGGACAATTTTTATACATTGAAGAAAGGAAGCCAAACACTATATCGTTTTATAAAAAGAAAAAATAAACGCGCTTTGTCCACGAATGAAAAGAAAAAATAAGAATATGTAGGGAACGGGATAGTGTACACGGAAGGTTCTACTCGTGATCGATTTAACTAAAAATAAAATCCGAAGTTAATTAAACGTTAGCCGCGCGCGCGTGATTACTCGGTCGGATCCATCTCTGGTGCGGAGTTGTGTATGGAGTTGATTTTTTTAATATTGCGAGACTTGGCTTGAGTCGAGTTTACGGAACTGAACACTCATCAATTAATTAGATTTTTCTCTTTTTATTCTTCTCTTCAAAACTATCTTTATGATTTTTATCCTATCGTAATATATACATTACGCATGCATACACATATTATCTATAACGTATAACTGCGAACGACGGTCGAAAAGAAAAACTTGTTGTTAATCTTAGGTAAATTAAGCGAACTATCATTGAGCAATTTGTTTAATAGTTATTTTTTATGAATACAAAATAAATTAAAAATACAAGGTAAAATGATTGCAAAAAATTATCTGCTATATATATACACATATATATACACACATATACATATGAATATACGTGTGTGTATATATATATATATACATACATATATATATATACACATACATATATATACATATGAATATACGTCGTGTATCGGAGATAAGAAGATTAAACAAATAAAAAAAGACCATTTTTTTAGCGTGTATCCTTTACCAATGTGGTATAATGATGCAAAGACTTTGATGATCGGATGAATGGTTTTTTGTCCGCACCTAGTCGAATGTAGGTTGACTGTAAATAAAATTTAAGATACAAATTTAGATTATCTCTTTTACCCTCTCAATACCTGCGTACAATAACTGATTATACATTATTTGTATTAAGATTCTTTTAAATATTCAGATTCTTGAATTAAAAATGTTATCTGTAACCAAACATTCAAATTTCATTTATTATAACAATTGATAAAACATTAACTGAAATAATTCTTCTCTTTCAAGTTTGATATTGTTTTTAAAACTAAAAATTATAGTATAAATATTTTATTCATTGTAATAAAGGATTTATAATCAATATTTTGTTTAAAGAAAACGGTAAAAGGAGTAAGTAATTTTAACGAGGAATGATAGAAGAAAAGTACCAGATTTAATGTTTGAGATGAATTTTATTAGCTTATTACTCCTTACTTCTGCCACATGCCGAGGAATACACAAAGCGAGTAAAAAACACCAGACGCCCAGTAATCGAGTTGTAATCTTTTAGGCGCTGAAGCTGCTTTTATTTATTTTTATAATACTATTATGCCTCAAAATTTGTCATGATCATCATCAATAAAAACAAATCATTCAAAAATAGCCTAAAAAAGGAAAAAAGGTACAAATAATAAGAAAGTCACATAATAATATCAATCACTTGTGCGCCGCGGATAAATAAGGAGCGTGTATAACAAAAGAGAAAAAAATTATAAGATAGAAAAAAAATGACAATACATATGAATGAAGAGTAAAATATCCAACCGGAGATAAAATACTCTTTTATGTATCGAGAGACGCGCACTGGTCATGTGCTTTTAAAAATGAGTCGAGGAATATGAAAAAGTAGAGGATAGGGAAAACGCAAATATTCCTGCTCTCTTTTTCTCTCTCGAGTTTTTCTCCGCCGGAAATGTCTACAAGCTATCATCACAGTTACATTTATACATAATATAATAATACATTATATAAGTTATTACTCGTTTTGTCAGCACTAATCATAATAATAATCTTCAACTGCTATTTCATCTCCTTATACTGCCTCCTTTTTCTCTCTGTATATATGTACATCATGGTTATAAATAGCTGTATGCTCGTATTATTAAATACATTCTGGTTTTTTTCTTCAAAAGCTTACAAGTGACTAGCCACTATACTCACTTTATAGTAATTCGTTTTCTAATTTCTTTTTTTCTTTTATATAATACCTTAGTCATTATATCTCTTATAATAATAATAATAATAATAATAATAATAATAATAATAATAATAATAATAATAATAATAATAATCATAATCATCATTATCATTATCGTCATCATAATGATACATAATAACATCGAAATCTTACAGCTATTAAATCTGCTGACTCGATTCAATTAGTCATTTATATATAAACGAAGCGTCAATCTTTCTCTCGTGATAACAGTGATACTTTTTTTGGACCTCGAGCTTTTTTTCATCATCCCCAAGCCACTTTTAAAATACATGCGCCGCCAAATCAATATTTACACACTGCTCTGGGGATACCGCTAAAGATGTTTGTTGTACTCTGCTAAGTTTGAAGCGGTCGAACGCAGTTACGAGGTACGAGTCCCTTGCGTTCACCTCTCGAGCACAATAGCCATTTGTTGTCTACCTCCAAAATTACCTTCAACTTCTCACCCTCTCCAAATGATAAGTGGCCGTCCTCGGATTGTGGTTTACTTGTCAAAGTACGTACAGTTCTGCAATCACACGGAAAACATGCAATATTTTCAAAGTTATTCACGTTGATTGTTTTAAAAATGTTGATGAATAAACAATATTTACAAACTTTAAAATTAATATTGACAACAAAAGTACACAACGTATACTGCTTGCTACCTTAACCATTCAAAAAATATTTTATGATATCATTAACATAGCACGCTCCATCAATATTCATAATACTTGTGTGGAAAAGGATGAGTTATGCTGATCGAAAAATGTAAAAAATTACTCTGTAACTTAATGTTTGGACGCCATAAGTAAAAAGTTCTAATTTGCTAGTATAACTTTAAAACTATAGTCAAGCAAAAATTAAGAAGGAACATTAGAAATAAAATTAGAAAAATACTAAGCAAAACTCAACTTTCAATTTAAAAAACTTTTATCATAGCCACAGTTGTTTGTAAATATTTCGACTCAATTAAAACCTTGAACTAATCTTACTTAGCAGTCTGCTTAGGCGGTTTCGGCGGCGCGGCAATGGAATGCGGCCTTGGGAGTGAAGTAGACGCAGCCCTTCTATGCGGCGACACGGCATTCCGATCCTTGGTACTGGTACCGTAGGTTTTGTATGGCAACGAGCTAGGTCTTATTATAGTTCGAGGTACACCTATATTTTCTTGATCCATTCGACTTGTTCGTCTTGGCGAATCCTTTGGTTCCGGAATCTTTTTTGCAGGTTTAGCGGCGATGCCCATGGGTTTCTTAAGGGATGGAATTCCCGATGGAGATTTGGTGGATTTAATTGGAATAGGAAGATTAGAAATTGTCTTTACGGGAGAAGTAAGGAGTCGTGGGATTTTTGATTTATTTAAGCAGGGAGGATTACGTGTAGGAGAGGATGGAGACGGAGTGGTCGCAGACTGGGCGTTCTCGTCGCGGCCTAAATGCTCCCATTTTTCTTGGAGCTTACGAAACTTGGAGTCACCGGTTGTCTGATTGTCCTCGTCTCTTCGTGAATCTACATAGAAACATCGCCGAATATTACTTCAAGTTCGTTTTTATTAGGAAATAAAGTAATACGAAATAGAACCTACCTTTGTTATCTGCGAGTTTAGACTGCTGCTTCGTAGCAGTTCTTTTGGGACTAGCTCGATTTAGCGGCGAATGCTCGAGACTGTCAGTGTAATCGTCCGAATCATCAAGTCTATCAAAAACATATTTCGCACTTGGTGGTATGTGACTCCATCGCCTCTTAGCCTCTTCCTCGTTCCTCTTTTCTTCTCTATCATACAACACGCAAGACCTAGGCCTTGCAAGCTTCTTTGCTTCCATATTTAGTCCGCTACCCTGACCGAAACTGTTGTGCAGTTGTCTGTACTGATAGAGTAAGTCCAATTGAAACGGACAGAAAGCGAGCGGTTGAAGAATGTTAAGAAAAGCATCTACAACTTCGCGACTGTTTACGCAGCTAAGAGCACCGATGAATAGACTATTGTTACTATAGTGCTTGCGAAGAATCGACTCGCGGGTGCACAAGTAGGCGAACCAAGCATCGAGAGCTCGCAGACTAAAAATGACAAAAAGAGAGAGAGACGTTATGAATTAATTATGTACGTATATCGATTTCAGTGACACACTTCTCAATACTCACTTGAGCAGTCCAAATACGAAAGCGTGAAATTTCAGCATACCCTCGGTTATGAAATCTTCGCCGTTGATCTTTTGTACCAGATCGTTCAGAGTTTTGGTCAACGGGCCTTGTTGTGATGAAGCTTCGACTACTTGCCAAACGCTATTGGCAATTGGACCGAAAGTTGAGTTGAGATGTGGTTTTAATCCGTCAGACATCACGGCATATAAAGCTGGGCAAAGTGCACTCAAACACAATTGTGAGCACTCATTTTTATCATTGTAGCCTTGTCGGCTACGCACTGGCTCGCTATGCCAGAATTTCAATAATGCGTCCACCGCCTTGTTTACTGACCATATCATTTCTGAAAATATAGAACATAACAACATTAATATTTTAGTTTTATTACAATTTATTTCGGTAAACAAAGAAAGCTTTCATTACTTTTTTTCTCTTCTAAATCTAGAGGCCTTAGCTCCATATTTTCAGATTCGCTCACGTTCAAGCGATCCTTCTCTCCCATCAAAGTCTAAAAAAAGGGATCGTACACGTATTAATTAAATAATTTACCATTTGTTGAATTAATGAATAATGTCAAGAGATAGATATGTATGTCTACATACCTTATCGTCCGTATATTTTTTCTGTCCATTGACAGCGAAACTAACAGTCTTTTTCTGTGAATCAGCCATGTCAATCATCTTAGCCATGTCCTGATTCATCTTGAGCGCGAGGAACCTCCTTACGCAAGAGCGCAGTTTCATATCCGCATCATGATCACTATCGCCGTCGCTGCTGTGCGATGACAACCCGCTGCGCCTCAGAAATTCCTCCAGCTGTTTGACATCTTCGTTGCTGCTCTCAAGCTCGTTATTATCCATTCCTTGCGATCTGTCTACAATCGCAAAACAAACATTCCATTATTTTTCTTACAAAAATAAAAATCTGTTCGATTTATCAAACTCGATATTGACCTTTCCGTATAAAACTGAAACAAAAGTCTAAAAATAATCAACAATCTCATTTCTCTTCCAATACCATCTGTTCATTAAAAAAAAATAACATACCGAATCGCTGTCTCTCTTCAGCTTCATCGATGTCCTTCTCCGAGTCCATCCTCAACAACTGCAGATCATTGTTCATGTAATATGGTTCTTGCAGTGACATCCGTTTGTTTTCTTGACTGATAGCTTCTACCTCCGTGAGCTGACCCATCTCAAACATACTGCAACGTTTCGCTCGATTCTTACGCAGAATACTGCGGGGAAGTGGAGGACGTGGTGGTGCGGCATCGGCACCCTGCGGTAAGGAAATGGAACGTTTGGGAAGGACTGAAGCGTTAGGACGTAGAATTTGACGAGCCGAGTGCATCTTTTCTTGACCGTGAAGGGAAGCTTCGGAACTAACGCTATCGTAACGATAGAGATAGAGTGGGTTGTTGCCCTGTGGAATAAAATTATGCTTATTGATGAGAATACTTTTTTAATTACTCTTCCATTGGATATCTTTTTCGCTTGCACATATATAACTTAATGGAATCTGTGTTTGCTATCTGCACATTTTTTTATCTTTCGCGGATGAAAACTGTCGCGTTTCAATGCATATACAATTAACAAATATTATCATTTGTAAAAGAGTTCATTGAAGGTAGTTTATTTTATTAACCGACGTAAAGATTTAAACATTATCATTACACCCAGTAGGTACAAAGAAACTCACCAAAGCACCATTTTCAGAGTTTTGCTGATTAGACGACGAGTCACTCAAGATGGTAGACGAGCCTCTGTAACCAGACGACGGCTGGGTAGCAGTGCTGCTACTCGACGATACTATGGTATTCGGAATTATATCGCCCAAGGTTTTCTTCCTGTGTCTCATGGGTGGCGAGAGACAGAATAATGGTTTTTTCACTTCTTCGCCAATAATCTTCACTTGCCTCGATATTTCTGGTACATCATTAAGCACCTTCCTGTATTCCGTGGGTAACAAAAACGTCAATGACTCCCAATCTTTTACGTGTGAGAATCCTTTTTGTTTTAGTGCATCAATATCGTTGCAAGAGAATGGTCTGCTCGGCTTGTTAATTCGTTTGCCGTAGTTTTGTGGTTTGAGTGAGACACTATCGAAACGCGTTTCCGATGTGTTGAGGAATGACAAATCTGGTAAAGTATAGTTAGGATAAACAACGTAAACTGGACGTTTATTAACCATCGTTTCATGAAATGGGAAACCATTGCCCGAGCTACTGCTTGGCGATGGATAAGCCAGAGAGGTTTGCACGCTGTTGTCTTCTACTTCAGTCATCGCCTGGACACCAGTAGTAGTTGTAGCGTTTATCATCTCTTTTTTTCCTTTAAGACTAGTACTTTTGTCGATTGATGACGCAGACCTCGATGTATTTAGTAAATCCTCCATCGATGTCGAACAATTCGACATCTTCTTTGGCATATCGTCGGTCTTAACCCACTTAATGGCCAAATCGTTATCTGGCAAGTTTGCAGGCTGCTGCTGCAATTGCCGATGTATCTGAGTGTTATTCGTGGCACTCTCGCTGTTGCTGCTGATAGGCCAACCATTCTCACTCGCTGAGTCGAATGTTAGACTCATACCCTCGGTACTCATACTCTTTTGCTTCATGAACAAACGAACAAGGCTCATATTTTGAAGTTTTTTGTTGGATGATAATGTGTTTCCCACGCTGTCTGAGCTTTCTTCATCGTTCATCGAACGGCTCATCATCGAACCCGAGCTTTGAAAACGACCACTTCGGCTTGTTGTCTCACCTGAGTCGACCTGTGAAATAAACTTTTATTATTTATTAGGAATATAAAGTCATTGAGTGTGGGTTATCTTATCGCTCTGTGCTGCTACGCGTGATTATTCAAAGACAATTTATTCGTTCAATCATGAATTCTACAGTTATTGATTTATTTTAAATAAATTATAATTTTTGAAATGGATCACATAGATTTCGTTTATCAAGCTTAAACACATTAGTTCAATTAAAAACAATTAACAATAAAAAAACATAAATGATTTTAGCTCGACAAATATATTTATCTGCATAATCCAAAAGTTCTATACATACAAACATACCGTAACGACCTAAAGCTTCAGAATTCCCATCTCCAGGCAGACTTACCCAGACAACAAACACACGCCGTGCTTATCTGGAATTCCCTTGCTAAGAACGAATTTCGTAACGCAGCTGCACTTACCGAAAAGTTGAGAGGCATCTCGACGCGTTCAAGTTCTCTCGCATGATTGAGGTCCGGCAAGCTTTGACTTTTGCTCTTATTAACGATAAGAGTATTGTTAGTCGAAACATTAGACTGAAGGAAATTTGGTGTTGTATTATTGTTGCCAGATGGATGACGAGTCATCGTTTTGCCCACCGATGAATTCTTCAAGTTACTCCAGGTTGTGTAAATTTTCGAATCCGAGCATGCCATGTCCAACATATTTTTGAAGTTGAGCGTCGTTTTATCATAATAGGACGATGGCGTCTCGTAGTTTTTTTGCTTGTCTGGAAACAGTTGTCCTATGCCTGAATGATGGGCATTGACAATTACGTTTGATTGTGTGCAAACGCAAAATTTACTTCTATTACTTCGCAAATTATAAAATTCCAAGTTTAACGAATTCGATATTTTCCAACTTGAGCTTCCATTTACGTAAGCCTCGGCAGGTAATGAACGTTATTGTTAATAAGATTGAGCGCGTAGTTGCGTAAGCAGTTGCCGTCGTCGGTTGTATATAATTATTTGCCTTCACGCGTTTAAATAACGAACTGAAAATTATTATAGTCGATCGCTGAAATTTCAATGATAAGCAGGAAGTTTTTACCTGAATCAATTAATCGCGAATCTGTCAGTAATTAGATTCGAATCCGATCTCACATGATTATTTCGTAAAATAGGCCTTAAGATAAATACACACCTTGATTATCAAAATCCTGTGAGCCATCGGAATACATAGCGATGCTACCCTCGAAAGCAATGGTATAATTATTCTTATTATTTGTCTGGCACGTGATAAGCATGTCTTCGCAATCGAGTGAATCAACGCTATAACTGCCTCCTGGTGGCAATACCGGCATCTCCTTCACTGGTGAAAACAGCAATGAAGACTTGCAGATGGATATGGTGTCGGCTGTCGAGCATGCCGAGTCTTCACCCTGCAGAAAGAAAGAAAGCGTGAAAAAATGACCACGTCGACGCTGGCGCGCGGTTAAGTAGAAAGCGCATTTTTTTTATTCATTTTGTATTTTCAGTCTTTCGTCGTCTGAACTCTGCCCTTTGGGATTTTTATTTTCAGCCATGCTTCTGCGAGAGGAGCGAGACGAAACATTAACGCGTGTAGAGCAGCTTTGGCGTGACATGTTTCGCAGAAAAACAAAACATGAATTTCTTTCTTGTGAAGCTTCGCAATACATTGAACTTGGCTGTGTTGAGAAACTAGGTATACACGTGAAAATAAAATGACAATATCGATAGGCGATGCGCTATTCAATCTTTAAGACATATGATATCGAGATATATTGTGATTTTTTGCTGTTGCTTGTTGACCTTGCTGAACTTCTTTCGTATGAAACTGCACTCGCTTCGATTAAAATTACAGCCATGCGCTTTTTTACAAATATACATTTACACTGGTTCCTCGGCACGATTGTTACTGCAAAAATGTGGTTTATCAATTACAAATAAGAATTTATCGAAAATATATCTTGAAGCTAATTTTAATGCAAGCTTCTGGAAGAACCCCACATTCTTAAAAAGGAGAACATATCGCACGCACACAATAATATATATAGAAGATAGTTTGTAAAGCTTCCAGGAAGAGGCATGCAGAGTGTATGTACGTATGTGTGTGTGTGTGCGCGCGCGCGCTTGAGTCTCTATAAATAAATATAGTGAAATATTTCGTCGACGACATCGAACAAAAGGGCAAGAAAAGCCAAACCATCAAGTAAGAGAGTGCGACGTGTGACTCTTTGCCAACGCAAAAGGGCAACAACGGCTAACGTGTACCTCCGTATTTTTAGTATATACATGTAATGTTATACATCAATTGTAATCCTGAGATATAAGCCAATACGAGAACAACGATATAGAAACATGAAAAAGAAAAAAACTCAGGAAGCAGCATGTGTGCGAAACAATAATCGGTTTGCGCATATAGCTTTCAAATAGAGAGAAAGAATGCGTGTGTGTATATATGTGCGTGTGTGTGTGTGACGTTCGGAACGATCTCGTACCTGGCTGCTAGCTCGAGGACTTATGGACGAACTGATGTCGAGTTTTTCCATCACCGAGCCAGATATACTGGCATATCTTTCACGCTGGTAGTTAAACTGCCATGAGTGGGATAAATTCATTAGAGTCCTTATCAAACAGCCAATTTTTAATTGTTTTTTTTTCTTTTCTTTCCCAAATTTACAAAGTGCAACATTGATTGGATATTCACTTTTGCTATACAATTTTATTTGCAGTTTAACATACAGATTCTTAGAAGTTTTTATGTGCTTTATATCCACTATTAAGGTTGCAAACTAATAGATATGATAATCATTCACAAAATAATAATCTTAAAAGCTACAAACTCACTTCAGAGTGTTGTACGGGATCAGTACACATAACAGGTAGAGCAGTCAGTAGTGTGTGAATATCTGCAGTTCTGAAGCTTTCCATGTCGACCTCAGCAAGATTGGCATCAATATTGCGAGCCAGGTCATCGTAGTAACCTAAGTCATCTTTAGTATAGGAAGCAGATAGAGACGACAGTACGCTAGGATGTACGTGTAAGCCTCCATCTCTGTAAATCATGCAATAGGCATATTGTCAAAGCACCTTGGATCAGAAATAACAATGAAGTAGATTGATGTAAGCACAAGTGCCTGTGTGTCCATGTGTGTATGCTAATTTTATGTGAAAGTGAACATTTGTAACTACCTGTAGTCAATGAACCATTGGTAGTCCATGTTGTCTTGAATGAACTCTGAGCCAACCAAGTCTAGTGGCTCATTTGCTGGATTAGAATTGCAATCAGAGCCTGGAGTTTGTGGATCCTCCATCATTGATGTTGTTTTACTAGCCCCTATAAAATAAAAATTCACAAAGAATATTAAAAACAGCAGTGATTAATTGTAAAAGCTTGGAATTTTGAAATTATATGAACACCCATGACAACAATTCACTGTCCTTAACTGAGCAATCAAAATATTATGATTTTCGGTATGAAAAACCGTACGAAAATTCGTTTCAAATAGACGGGCTGTTATCATATAATCGGCTACTAAAAAGAAAAAAATTTTTTCCCAAAATGAAAAGATTGCAGCAATTGTTACTTTCATTTTGCTACCATGGAAAAAGTGTAGGTAATCGCACAGAGTAACCAAGTGCTAGCGTTTAAAAATTAATCGAGTGTTTGAAAATGATATCATTCTTTCAAATAGCCGCGGTGAGATTTCCCGATGAAGCTTATTTACAAAAGCAGCTGCCGGATTCGTTGTATTTTTAAATCCTAAACAGCATCTGAGGCATTAAAAGTCTAATGTAGAAAGCACATAAAAAAAGCAATACATCCTATCTCTTCTTTCTTAAGCAGAACATTCCATCGTACATAATAGAATTATAAATCGGATCTCCCGTATGATTAGCACCATGTGGGCGGTCGTTCCTCACGCACAAATCCTGACGTCAGCTTTTACAACAAAGCACATAAGCAAACACCCACTGTTAACAAACGAAAGAAGAAAAAAATTGTGCTGCGGCGCGATCTACATATGCGAATCGTGCCAATACAGGAGAATATAGAAAGCCCTCGTTTGATATATTGTTGTTTCGAAACTCGCGCCACAGATTTTTCGTTCTAAAACACGCAGCTGTTGGCTCTTAGACTTTCCAAATAGAGTAGTACTTTCGATTTTCTCGCGCGCGAGAGTGTGCAAGGAGAGCCTCATTCCAATTGCCTTATAAAATGTTTCGGTGTTGTCTAACCTTTTGTGGCTATACAGCATCTCTGTTAGATGATCATTGCTCTGCTGCTATGACTTCCTTCTACGTGTTTTTAAAAGAAAAATTGATTTAAATTAAAAACACGGGGAGTCACGCACTTTCATAACACACACACACATACACACACACACACACCCATACACGCACGAGTCGCGACTCGTACAAAATTGAAGAACTACACTGAGCTCTGCTCCGCTCGGCGAGCCGTCACTGACTACTGCTAGAGCGATATCGAGGAGGCAAAAACGCGAGGAGTGAGGGTAAACTGTGACAGAGCGCAGCAGTGGAAAGAGAGAGAGAGAGAAAAAGAGGAGAGGTAGCTGCTGCTGGCATAGACTTACATGTTGTTAGATTTGATTTCGATATACCGGAGGTTAATATAGATAGGTGTGATTGAAAAATATATTGGCTTTCAATGCTGATTCGCAGAGTATTTCGCGAGTTGATCATTTATATGGAATACGCTATATAGAGCATTATTCTGGAATCTACTCTCATTCCAAGAAATTTGATATGCTCTTGGGGATTGAAATTTCTTTGTGATGAATTGTATTAATTTTCGAACGCGTTCGAATTATTAATGCGAATTCAAGGTAGGTATATTATGTGTGTGCTGTGAGAGGTAATCGTTGCGAAAATTGACTGGTGGCAGCTGCTGTGCATAATGCACAACTACTCTACGATTATATTTTTTTGCACACACGCATCCATTAACTCGGGAATTTTGGAATGCCGTTTGAAAATGAATTGCTATTATCTGATTACTTTAATACTTATTATAGTTGTACAGAAAAGCTTAGAGTATCTTCGAACACTAAACTTTATTCGCTTTGTATGGCTACATATGATCACGCGCAATGTGTGCCGTGTGACTAAGAATTTTTTCACATTGCAAAGGGTAGGAGTACAACACGTGCCAACCGATCAACGAATTCAGTCACTTTATAGTCTGTCGCGTGTACCGATTCCCGCTGAATGCACAAGTATAATCGGAATTCTCATTTCTACTCTTTGTAATAGTGTCTACACGATGGACGTGCTTGGAGTTGGTGAATTTCCATGCCAACGGTAAACACTAACCGTTTTACGGTAGTTTTGTTCCTTGACCGCGTAATCTTTTTTCGGTAATATGGCTTTCTTTTACGCGAATCAATAAAAATTGCAGGCTGTAATAACAAAGAAGCCTTGGTCATAAAGAAAAACACGTCGGTCATCCGTCGGCGATGAACTTGAGAATTACGCGGAAGATAATTGCACTTAATTAGCGAGTTCAGGCAGGAATGAGAGGTATGCATGAAGTACGGGACGATCCAGAGAGCTCCTCGAGAGACGAACCACAGGTTTTCCAGTGTAGGTGACCTTGTTAACGCATTTTTCGCTGTCGACCGAAAGCGATAGCGCGTTTCTCCGACGCATTAATAATCGTTCTTCCTTCCGTGGTGAGCTCGTGCGTGGATGTTGTTAATTGTGCGTGCAAAGCCTGCGCTCCAAATGTTTGATCGTGCCTTTAGATGCGAGCAGCTAGTTGTTTATATCGAATAACAAAAAATACCTGGAGTACTTATCTTTTATCTGACTTTTATTGTGACTCAAGAGCCTTCGAGGAATAAAGTGATAAGTTCGACGGTCGAGCGCGCACTTCGTATAATCTATATTCATCAAATTCTTTATGAAAATTTTAATGCAACGGTCTATTACACATCCGCCGAGCAGAAGCATTGCATCAGATACGCGCGCGACTTCGGCGTGTATACGTGGGCGTATTATTCGCGCCATGAAAGGGAGGCATTCATATTATACTCTCGTAATTATTTCTCAACGATGAAACGATTGTTGTTTTTCAGCGAGCAACAAGACAACGAAGAAGAAAGCAGCCTTACGTTTCCTGCATCTGCGTCTGTAGCGACGCTGCGGTCGGGTCCTCGCGTTCTCGGCAACAACGCGCCTTTTATCGTCGTCGGATCTGTCGACGACAGTCAACTCCTCAGCGATTTTCATGATGACGCACATCAGCAACATTAGCATCATGTCGTCGATCTTGCGGGCGGCAAGGAAGGTATTGTCTACCCCCTACACCACTCTTGCAACACTGTCTATTTTTTCCGCAAAGCACGCGTCACATGAGGACGTCCATATAATCGTTTTTTCTTACTTTTTCTTTTAGATGGAAAACGTATTTCTTAGCAAGTATTTGCGATCGATGCTGCGTATAGGTTCTCTGGATCGAAGGTAACAGATTGAATTGCATTGCTTATTGTTCTTTGATACTTTCATACGGGATGTAAATCTCTCGCGCAACTTTTCGTGCCCACAGGCGCTTTTCGCATCAATGACAAGCCCCCGGTACAAAGCTAATTGAAAGATTTCAGAGTAGGATTCCAATAAAAACAACCGTAATGTAAGCGGTCTCGAGAGTCGCACCATAAAAATTACCCACTCGCACACAATGCTTGAACGTGCTGTGCAATAACGGAGCAGAAAAGAATCGACGACAAAAGTCGATTTGAATATTAAAATAGCCAACGATTTGCGTAACTTTTGCGTATAGCGCGCGAACACAATAAGTTGGCAGGAAAAGTGGCGTGATCGCAAAGCGACTGGACGATTAGAGCTAAGAATAAAAGTGTCGCGACCGCACACGGACCGCCAGTTCTACGATCGTGCAAGAATGAAAAATTCGTCGTCGCGTGGGGACGCGATTCGGAGAGCGGCTTGTCGATGCTGGATGCATCCGTCGATGAAGCTGTCTCGACGGTTGGCGATAACGAAAAACAAAAACAAAAAGCGAGACTCGGAATTAAGTTTCGCGCAACGACGCGATCGTGTCCCGTTACGCCGATAACCGGCGAATCTCTGGTGCGACAATTTCCGGGTAGGTGAGCCGAGGATCGCACGCGCAAATTCTCGTCGCAGCGGCGCGTCGTGTGGCTCGTTCGCGCCGCCCGCGCACATAGCTCCGAGACCTTTAGCTGCAGGCCAGGCGTGCGTGCGAACAAGAGTCGGACGAACGGCGGACGCTCTCTCCGGTACGAATGTCGTGCAGCGAGGAGATAAGAGAGATCCCTCTTGCGGGAGATTATAGCGATGCGCGTAGTCCCTTCCCCCCTCCCCTCGCCCTCGCTCGCTGCGTGCCAGCTTGTTGCTTCGATACAGCCCACGGCTGTGCGATTAATCTCGCGACGTTCAATTTACCAAACAGAGAGAGTCGTCGACTGATTCTTTTTTTTTTCTTTCGACTGCCAAAAATGTGTGAGTGGCGCCACTCGGCTAACATTCTCCGACGCTCACTCGACGACCGAAAAAAATTGCTTAAGTGCAGCGCGAGAGACGTAGAGGAGACGCGATTGCGTCACTGCGCGGACGCGCGCGAATCAAACGCAACGAAGGTTGCTCGCACCGCAAGCTTCCTATCAGCCGTCCAGGCGCGCACGAGTGGCGCGTGTAGGATGTCGCCGACCGACCCCGCGATACGGAGATTCAAAGAGGGGAACCCAGTGTGTGCACGAGTCGCGGCGATGTAAAAATGGTTGGATCCGTTGTAAGTGTGCGCCGAGCGAAGACAGACGCCACGACTGTGCACGCAAGATTTCGCCTCATCCGCGGGCATTTTTCGAAAATTCGATACTCGCGCAGTCTGAAAATAATCCGGGTTAAAACTCGCAATCATTAAATTTAGCGAGGACACGGGCCCGCGCGCGCGCGCACGCACACACACACACACACACACACACACACACACACACACAGCGGATTCCACCGAGCGCGGGAGGGAAGTCATGTGACCGGAGCAAGTGTGATTCAGGCGCGGGAGGCTGCGCAGCGAACAAAGAAGCAGAGGAGAAAGCAATTCGGCTTGATTCGCGTTGATTAACGCGTTATCGCTCGATGACGCGCGTCCTCGGGAGAAGTCGGGCGCTAGGGGGAACTCAGGAGAGCCGTCATCGCCGAGGCAGCGCTCGGGCGATGGCGCCCGGCCGTCGAGGCGAGCGGCCACGTTCGCGCACCAGCTCTCACGGCGGAGTCGCCGGCACACCTCTCGCACTGCAATTCAATCCTGCCACCCGGGTGCCTCTCGCGCGAGCAAGTACGTCCGTGGCGCTGACTCCCGACGTTACTCGGCGCACATGACCAGGAACCCCCGACGAGAGACGCGCGGCGATCGGTGCCGCTCGGTACAAAGCACACACGCGACGCGCACGTAGCTGAAAACCGACTGGCCGGCCGCAGCGCGTTGCTGCGCACGACCCGACACGACGCTCCCCGCGCGCGCGAGAGCTTAATCTCTATTAATAAATGCTCACGGCCTCTCTTGACTGGGGCCCTCCGCAGGCGCATCCGTGGCTCGCTTTACTCTTTGTCTCTCTCTCTCTCTCTCTCTCTCTCTCTCACATGGAGCGGCTAGAGAGGCTCGGTCGAAACTGCATACGTCTATTTAGATCTCTCTCCGCGCCTGTTTTGCGCGGTTCATCCTCCTCCGCGCGCGCCGCCCGAGCGTTTTACGCACCCGAGCCGGTGGCGCGGCGATTAGCTGCTCGACATCGCGACGGCCACCCGCATCTGATCGGGATCCTCGCTGAACGACGACGCAGAGGACATGGTGTCGCTCGAAAAAAAAATTTCGACCGGAGTCCTCCCCTCCCTATTAAACGGCCTACGTATCGCTACGCAAGTCATTGAGGCCAGTATGTAAGTAGTATCCCCGGATACGTTCCAACGTAAACACACGGAATATTAGCCCTCTGTCTCTCTTACACGGTTTCTCTCTTTACTTCTCTGCAGTAAGCCATTCTAATTTTAATCCTCGCCTTTAGCCCGCAGCGCCTTGCGCGCACAGCTGTGTACTTTCGGTAAAGACCACGTCGCAAGGGCTTTATTTCAGTTGCTAAGGGCGCATCGTCACTTTCGTCCGCGATTCGAACAGCCTCGCGTTGCGCGGTGCTCGTCGCTCGTATACCTGGATCAATCGCAGAGTCCCTCGCCTCCTCGATTCGCGCCTCGGCCGAGGAGTCCTCCTTTCGGCCTCCTCGGTGCGCGCGCTTCCGCCTCCGATTCGTAGATTCGCGCCACGACAATGGGACAATGCGAGGCGCCTCGATACGCAACCGCGAGCGAGCTAATTTCGTTCTTTGTGCACGGCCAATGTGGGTACGCCGCGATCAAATGGCACTGGCGTTATGTCTCTCGATGCTCGACTTGCTGGCCGTGTGGTTTTACTTACCGTTTCGATCGTTCCCAGCGCGGATCACCTCGGCTGCCGCGAGCGCCTGCAAAAAATACACACGTACACATACATATGGATATATGTTTATATATGTACAATCGTTGAACGCGCAGAGTTGCCGGGAAGACAGATTTTTTGGAGTTGCCGTCCCTTCGTTCGCCCGAAAGTCCAAAAATACGAATTTCCTCCTCCGGCCTTCGCTAAAAATCGAGCGAGTCAGAGCGCCGCGCCGTGCCCCTCCGAAATTTCCAAAGTACGCCCAGCCCGACGAATTCCAAACTTTGGATATTTTCGGAGAGGCATGCTACCCGAGCGCACCGCGCGGAGAGCGCACGCCTATCAAAAGATGTTTTCGTGAGTCACACGGCCGGAGCCGTATGGAGAAGTGCAACCACGACGAGGGAGGACGCACTCGAGAAAAGGGCGCAAGGGACTTCATTATAATCGCCATCATAATGGGCTTTCTTCTGCGAGCATGTGCGACTCTCGTTCTAGCTGTTCAATTTTTTTTCCATCTTTTTCACTTGATTGCCTGTCGTTCCTGCAACATACTGACACGATCGATGGATTTATAACGAGAGCGGCAACTCGATTCACCCAACTAAAAAGCTTTCTTTTTTGTCATGTACTAAACAGTACTAAATTCGTCTGTGGCAAAAGGAAAAATCGACAAATCATTTACACGTAACCTAATCGGTTGCTGATACCCATACACTTGGAGAAATCTTCTACTCGAATGGACCACATGTACGAGTGATTAATTCACCAACAACTTCATCCAACAGTTTATTTACGCAGGATAGAACAAAAGGTATGCACCTATGGAACGAATCGAGGTCGATCAGCCTCATTGATTCGACTGCCGTCGCTATGTAGGTTAATGTCGATTACGATTGCGCTGTCCTTAATTGTCGAATACACTAATTCGGCATACGCTCGATCCTCGTCTCAGCACAACACACGAAAGATAGACGGGACTAGAATAACAGGCTAACATGTTCATCGCGTGAAAGATGGAGAACGATGCTTATAAGCTCGGGCACGGCGTTCGTTATACGGTCGCGGGACGGACAACGACGGGCCGAAGTTCATTATCCGCGTTGCAAATAGCTCCGGGTTCGTGTGGAGGAACATGCGCGCTTCGAGTCGTCCCGACGAACGAAGCTCGCGCCGAGCGATAAAAGCTACAGCACCGTAGCTCGAGAAGAGAGAGAGAGAGAGCACGATGCCTTTTTCTTTCGGCTTTTGGTAGCGCAGAAAGCGACTACGTTTCGAGCCACCCTCTCCGCATTTCGCATGCAGGATAGGACGAGCAAACAGATCCACAAGATACTCACGTTCATGACTGAAGAGGGGTTGGTTGCGGCACACGCACGGCCGTATATACACTTCGAGGAAACGGCAAAAGCTCTCTGGTCGATATTCGAAGAATTATGCCATGTTAGAGTTCCTCCCCACACTGCTGTGAGTCAACCCTCTTCCGCCAAGGAGGCTTCTGTCTCAGCGCATGCTTTGCGCTTGCTCTCTCTCTCTCTCTCTCTCTCTCTCTCTCCCACCGCTGCAAGAAGAAAATTTGCCGTGTGCTGCAGTGTGCTTTCGTGCGTGGCAATGGACAACGTGCGCATTGAGTTTGGAAATGGTCGCACGAACGTTGCCGCGATCGCGGATACCTGCGCGGACGACGAAAAATGTGCAGCGCGGCTGGCGATACTGCGATGCGCGCGCGAGTCCGAGGCCCGGTAGAGTGCCTCTCTCGGCGACTGCTTTCGCCAATTTTCAGCCGAGGCGCATTTTCCGCGCGGAATCGCCTCCGCTACGAGAAAACCGAAAGAAAGAACGATCCTTGGAGTTGCGTGCAAAAGCGATGCGAGCGCGCAAGCTTTTCCCTTCTGAGTTTTATTGATCGGGGGAAAAGCTGCTCGGCAGTGCCAGGAAGCAACAGATATTACTCTCACGGATGTGCTCCGCGAAACTCACTGACAAGTGTCGCGTAACCGCGTACGCGTTCCCCGACGACCCTCGCCTACCGCGCGGCGACGGCATTTATATTGGATTTTCCCTTGGCGAGGACGATCAATACGACACGCACGCACGGCTCGAGCGACGGAGATCGTTTCGTTGTTTCTCCTCTTCGGCGCAATTGTTTGCGGCACACAGCTGAAGGCTGCGCGTATCGGGAGGAACCGCACCGTATCGATCCGCGAGCGCGGGAGGGTAAAAGAATCGCGCCAAGGCCAGAGTTTTCTTCTCCGTGCGATCACTGAACGCGACGGTTTCGCGCGCCGAGTTCTCTTGTTACTCTCGTTTCCTTCGGCTCGTTCCTCGGCGTACGACCGAGGGCAGAAGCGCGGTGCATACGTACCAGGCACGAGAGCTGCGGGAAGCCTGCTTCAGGCAGCAGACTCGGCAAACGAGGCCATCGCGGAACGCGAGGCGCAGTCGCGCTCTCGTCGCTCGCTCGCCCGCGCCGCCGACAACGACAACGACGACGACGACGACGACGACGACGACGACGACGACGACGACGACGACGACGATGACTCGCTGCACTCGCGCACAAAAGGCACAGACACTGACCGCGTTCTTCTTCGACTGGCGACCGACGACAAGTCCGCACTGGCGAACAACGGGAATGGAGCTTCTTCGACGGAGAATCCGTCCGAGGCTGACGTTGCCGTCGTCGACGCACTGCGCGGTGTGTACGTGCGCTGAACGAGCAACCCACCCCCTCCTCCCTGCCCTGCCTCGAGCGCATGCGTCGTCGCGCGAGCGCCGCCAGCCACCCCCTGCGGCTTCTCGCTCGTCCGGGTCGCCAAAGGGGCCGACCCCCTTTTTTCTTCTTCTTCTCCGGAGAGCAATGCAGTCGAAGGTATTTCTCGCCTTTTGCACTGTGTGCGTGCGTGCGTGCGTGTGGGCGAGAGAGAGGAAGGTGTTGATTGCGAGCTTTTGTTTGCCCAGGCTATAGAAGATGTGCTTCAAGGGTTCGCCTTTCAGGGGTGAAAGATGTGGCCCATTTTCTTCGTCCTGCGGGCTGATAATTACGCGGATGGATAAAATTAATGTGGGCTCGTTTGAGTTTACTTGCCAAAAAACAGCCCGAAACATAACGAGATTCCTTCGAAGCCTCGAGTCGACAAATAAATGCATGTGACGCAGATATTTGTCGGCGAACGCGAGCATCTCTTGCAAAGATGAATGTCTTCCTCTATCTTGTTCTCTTTTTCTTTCTCTCTTGCGCAACTGAACAATGGAAATCTTCGAGAAAAATTAGATTATCAACGCTTTCTTGAAGAGCTCGAAGAAAGTCGCGGATGAGCGTTTGCGGAGATTTCTCTCTCGAACGTCGGCCATAAATGACCATTAAAAAATTGATCAGCACGCGACACAATCTCTTCGTTTTCGAACGCGGAATCCCCGCCTGTTGTGATAGGCCTGCATACGTGTGTTGCCGCAACGAAGTATTTTCGTATCTATATAACGCATACATGTGGAAAGAATGAAAATGAAAACGGAAATCGCGACCCACTTGGCGAGTAAGAAACAAAAAGAGAGACGAAAAAGAAGACAAGCGTGCGAAAGAAAGACAAAAAAATAGCATCGATTTCGTCCGAGAAGTCGGCGACCTGTACTTTGTCGAGCTTCCCCTCTCTTTAAGATTTCGCTGCGAGTAAAGCAACCTACCCGCGACGTATAATGCAATGCAGACACACACACAGCAATTCTATTGTGCAGCTACATTTACATTTATGCAAAACTAAGCGTAATTCCACGCGCGGCGGCGACTGTCTCTCCGCTATAATGATAAAATGTCTCCGTAGGTACGCGTGGCTTTCCGGTCGAGTGTCTTGGCGCCGCAGGGGAACGATGCTCGCGGATTCGAAGGCAAATCACCTCGGCGCTGCCTACCGGGATGAGCGCGCGCGCGAGTCGTTAAAAACTCGTTTCCTCGCTGCTCGGCCTTTTCCTTTTTTGTTTTGGGAAAAAGAAGCGAGAAACGGGATGCCGCGCGACGGCTGTGTGCATAACGGGGCAGTGAATTTGAGAAAGGATCGCCATGGAATTTCTCCCCGAGAGCCGAGTTGAGCTGTCGGCTCTACGATAGGCCGGAGTGCATTGGGCGGACGTCTCTCCTCCCCGCCAGCCGCGAGGAGCGCAACGACGGAAGGACCGAGCGAAGCTCTCGCGAACGCGCCGTGCGGGATTCGGAATTCCCGGCGGCCGACGAGCGTCGCAGCGTGCGCGCGCGCGAACCGAAGCCGCGCGTCGGCGCGAGGCTCGTGTTATTGATTTTTCACCTCGACGCGCACACGCGAAAAAGCTCGCGAGCCCGTAAGGGCGCGATCGAGCGATCGTGCTTGGACTGACTGAAATCCCGCCCCGGTGCGAACGCCCGAATTTTATTGCCCAACTTTCCGAGGGAGGCTTTCCCTTTCCCGCGGGCGTCAGCGGAAAATCCCTCCTCTCCTCCGCTGAACTCGCGACTGCGTGTATTCCGACCTCGACGGAGAGCATTGCGCAATTCGTCGATTTTGACGTCGCGAAATTGGACGCGAGCGAGAGCTTACCGAGGAGAGCCGTCAATTAGCCGAGGTTTTCGCAGTGCGTACGAGCGCAATGAATATTAAAGGGGCGCGAGAGAAGAGCGCGTTGGCACGAGTGCTCGTTCAAGCTTCGATCGACGTAGAGGGGCATATCTTGGCTATCTGCTTTTCATTGCTTAATGAATGATACCGGTGTATAAGCGTGATCGCCGATGGATATAAGTCGATTGTTGGCATCGCAAATCGCGTAGAAAGTCAACGTGAGTTTGGTTTGGAAATCGGGTTGAACAGTAAGCGGGATCAATGATCCGATAAACGGCCCGTGATCCGTTGAGCGAGGAAATGCGATTTCTCCTTAGAAATTACATTCGATGAGCACTCGGTTGGCTGCCTCGTCGTGAGATCTAGCGCGAGAACGCGAGACTAATACAGCTCGATCTTACTCTGCCGGTAACTACGTTGACTCTTACCACTCATCAATAACGCTGCAATTCTTTGCGCGAGATGTCTTTTTATCAACAATTTCCAAACCGAAATACGAAAAAACAGTAAATTGCCAATGTGATATCAAGAATTCAACTCAACTGAAATTACGAATTCAGAGCAGCCGTATTTTGAATTCAGGGTCAAGCGGATCAATGCAATTAAAACAGTTGATTAAAACGACAATGGTCGATGATCATTTACATGCAGCGTTCGAATACTCTTGTCTGAATCAATCAAGTTCAATTATATAACTATTTTGACTCGATTTTTTTCCCCTGTACGAGCGACATTTTGTAATGGAATGCAAATGCAGATTTTCGTTGCATGTTAGTGAGATCAAGGAACAGGATTTTCAAAAAACATAATTTCGCAGGTCATATCCTTGTACCTTAATTATAGGAATTTATTGCTTTCATCGCTAAAAAATTGAATATTCGGATACAAAATAAATAATTTTATAAAAAATAAAAGCCTCATTATTTAGCAGTCGAAGTAATGATATAGTCAGCCTGCGGCAAACGCAAAGCGCGAGCCTAAAATTTCACAAATAACATAGAGGACTTTACTAGAGAAAAATAGTTGTTACGTCGTCAGCGATGAAAAAAAAACAGAAACAAACCTTTCTCGCTTACATAAAAATTTCATGTTCGAAAGAGGATAAAAGTAACCTAACGCAGAAAAATCTTTGTATATATTTACAAAAAAGGAAAGAAAAAAAACGTCACCGGGTTGCACACGGCAAAAAAAAAATAAGCAGGAACGTTACTCCGCGGTTCCTTCCCTTTTTCTTTTTCTCTAATAGTATTACATACCTAAACTAAATTCACATTGCGCGCGACGACGATCGCGTGCTTATATACCTTTCGAAGATGAGTGCGAACGCGCTACGCATCTTCTTCAGGACTTCACAGTACGTTTTGAATACTGTTACGATTGCTTCCTCTCAATAGAACAACATCGACGCTGCGCTCGCGCGTGTGCGCGGCGCGTAGACGAAAGAGTACAGCGTTTTTTTTCTTCGACAGTCAAACTACAATCGGCGGGATATCGAGTGCTGAATTGGCAGTTGTGCGTTTTGGCACTTGGATTTCGAAGTGCAAATGTTTAAATATTACAAAGAGAAAGAAAAACAAAAAAAAAACAAGGTAATAGAAAGAACAAAAACAAGGACAGTCGACGAGTGAAAACGCGATTCACCACCGCATGGAATGTTAGAAGCGTATAAGGAAGTATTTTAAACGTATCGTCGATTCTTTGGTGTCTTCTTGCACCTCCGTTTGCCGAAAATCGCGATAATGCAAATAGTAAGGGTAGCCACGAGAACGGCAGCGACAGCCCAGACGGCTTTACTAGTGTTGATCTTTGGCTTTCGATTTTGCTCGTCGTCGTAATCGTCAGCGAAACCCGTGTCGACTTCCGTCGCTCCAGTCGGTTGAAGCTTATGCAGCGACTCTTTCGGTATGATTTTGACTATCGGCCGTTGCGTGGTCGTGGTGGTCGTGGTCGTGGTGGTGGTGGTGGTGGTGGTGGTGGTGGTCGTCGTCGTCGTCGTCGTCGTCGTTGGCGCGTTGATAACTTTGCGATACTTCTTCTCGAGCTGTTCTAATTCGACTTCTTTGGCGTTGTAATCGCGCGTTTCGCTTGGTTCTTCGTAACTCTGGAAGAACTGATCCAGCTCGAAGAAGTAATTCTCCAGCGAATCTAAAGTGATGGACCGAATGTCCATGTACTTTTCCACCAACACTTTCCAGTCGTTGGAGTGATTTTGCACCATGTTTCTGTAACAGCCAAATATCCATGCACTTGTAGCTTTGAAAAGTTGACAAGAAGAATGGCGAAACTTACATGAGGTCTTTGTTCAAGGAACTTTTGCCGAAGGGAGTTTCCCTCACATTGGTATTACCGAAAATATTCTCGTAGAATTGGAAGGCCATCGCAATTCCAAGTACTTTCCTGTCGAAACAAACGTCACAAGGTCACTTCTCGGCTAGCGACCCATCTGCCATCAGGCGAAAATAAAGGAGGAGAACTTACGAGAGGTAGGGCTTGTTGCTAACAATGTGATCGTCGCTTAAGAACGTAGGTAAATTATTGGTACTAGAAGTCACACATTCGTTTTGCAGTCTGAAAAAACCAAGTGGAGTCCGTTACCTCATCCATCGTCCCGTCGACGGCACAATACACCTACCTATTTTTCCACCAGTCAGACAGCAACGCCTTGGAATCCGACTCGTTTCTCTCGATAGCATCGAGCCTCCATTTATCCGCCGAGTAGTAATAAGCTAATCGTGGAAGCACGTCGAGTGCAGTAATCGCCAGCGAGGTTATTTTAGCTTCCTCCTTGCCAATCGTCTCGTTGATCAGTCCCATTTGTCTCAGCCAAGCCGGACTCGCGGCCAGAAGGGAGAAGAATTCCGACACGGCTTCTTCGAGGACTGCGACAGGCGCGTAAACGTTGGAACGGCGCGTGCGCGAAAATTGGCTCGCGATGAGAATATATGCCTTACCCGAGTATCGATTGAAATCATTGAGGATCGGATTGACGGACGACATCTCCTTCATGAGTATCTTGGCGACGTGCTTGTGCGCCGTCAGGTAATTGGACAGCGACGGCTCGTTGCAGGTCGACACGCGGATTTTACTCGCCAAACAGAACTTGACCAGGCGCGCCGGGCACTCGCCGCGAAAGTTGCTGTCCGACCAGAATCCACTCTCCGGGTTGCCGATCTTCTTGCCGAGGAACTTCTTGCCCAGATCGGAGGCCGGCTTGTACAGCAACTTGCCCATGAGCCTCTGTAACATAGCGCAACGTGATCGTGTCGTCGTCCGGTGCGATTCGGCCAGCGACTATTCGACGAGCGGACTTACGTTCTTCCAGAGATTCTCGCGAATCCCGAAGACGACATCGGGATGCGGTACTACATCCAGGGCCAGGTGTGTCCAATCGCTGCCTACTAGCGAACCTTCAAATTGATCAACGTCAGTAAGCAGGCCTCGCTCATACGTACGAAAGGGACGCGTTCGCGGCTCGCGTACACCCACCGAGCAGATGCGCAGGTATGCTGTCGTTACTGATGCCCGCCGAGTCGTATTTCTCGGCTAATCGTTTCCTCGCGAAGTCCACCATCCTCGTGCGCAGCTCATTCACGCGACCCATCCCGTAGGCGAAGTCCTTGTAGGCGTCCGGCTCGCCGGTAAGCATCTCCCAGTAGCTCCTCGCGTTCGGTCGATCTGCCGCGTAAACATTGCAATTAGAGTTGGCGATCGGGGCCGAAAGCCAGAGTCTCTCGCGTACCGTTCGCCGAAGCAGCCTTTTGAACAAGCTGAAGTACGCTCAAGTAGTCGTCGAGCTGAGAGCTGAACTGCCCGTGCCAAGACGTCCATGCTCTCAGCTTCTCTTCCGCTTTGGCATTGTGCGACAGTAGATAATCCACTTCTGCGAGCGAAACACAAGCTTTCTTGGTATTTCTCTTTTATTTTTCGGGGTCAAGACTGACAACGCGACGCGATAAGAGGCGCACGAATGATTTACCTTCACGGCTGAGATTTCGCGCGCCGTCGTCGTATCTGGCGGTGGCTTGCAGTGCTCGGTTTTCGGTGACGAACGTAGCCAACTGTGTGCAGAGGTCAAATCGATGGCGTTACGAAGTGCGCCGATGTCGCGCGTTATCAAGCTCGCTTTACCTTGCCGAAGTCATCCTCGTCGAGCGCGGCGTCACCTGGATACCTCATCACCGACAGCTTGTAGCCCGATGGCGTGTTGTCCTGCGTCGCGTTCAGCACCGACGCGTCCGTGCTCTCCGACTTTCTGCTCTTCGCGAAGGACAGCGTTGCATCCAGCTGCCGGTCACACGCCACTTTCAAGCTCTCCGGCTCTCGGCAAACGTCATTCTTACGTACCCATTTCTTGATTGCAGCTGGATTGGCGGGATTATTTAGCAGACTCCAGTCGGCATCGGCGAACGGCTGACAAAAGTCCTCGTACTCGAGCTCGTATATCTCAGTTCCGCGATCCAAGTTGAAGTCGCCCACGACGCCGTACCCCTCGAGGCCGGAGGCGGCAGCGAGCGACGCGCCGAGTTTGGCCGACAGCAGCAGCGCGATGCCGAGGATGGCTTGTAGCAAACACCTTCGAACCATTCCTCGATACTCTCGTTTTTCACCTGTAACGAGCCAACCAAGTGCTCTTTTGACGCACGACGTTGGAAGCCAGACGACCTTCGCTGAGATTGCGGCGCACGCGAAGCTCTCGAACGGAGATTTTGCAGGTGCATGCTCGACTTGCGCGCGTACCGCGAAGCCTTCCTTTTGCGGTGCGTCGTCGTAGCGACGAGACGAATCAACCGACGTCGCGCTCGGCCCACGGCAATCAATAACATCAAGCGCGTGTCGAAATTGTCAATCCAATTGAGACTCGTTATATCGCTGTCGCTCCGTTCGCGAGGCACATACGTGCGTCTCATTGCCGTGAGAAGCCGAGCTTTCAATTTACCGAGGGGCGGACTTTCGCCAGGGATTTTCTTCTCGCGTCGAGGAAGGGATTTCCGGATCGGCCGGGATGTCGATGATCGTGGGACGTCGCGGCAGGGAGAGAGAGAGAGAGACGTGTAATTACTTGTTATTCACGAGGTACATCCAGATGCTGATTGTTTTCCGTGTATATTTGGCGTGTTTCTGACAGTTTTCTTTCTTGATGGCTTCTTAAATAAAGATTACACTTATCACTGTACGATAAAGCTATCGACGACCGGATATAAATAATGTTTAATTTATGAAGTGTCGAGAGCATTTGGATCAGCGATTATATGTATTTCGTAGCTCGTGGAAATTTTGGATGATAATTCGTCGGGCTTCGAGAGCGTCGAATCGACGAATTCCTCGAATGAAAAATTGCGAGCGCAGGGTTTCAAAGCGTTATCTCCGTAACCTCGAATTCGGAGCGCGCAAGCTTGCATACGATCGGATTGCAGAGCATTATCAACTCCGTGGTTTCGCCCCCTCCCAAAAATGAAGTCTTACAAGCCATTAGATAAAAAAAAATCGGCGGCACGCGTGCACACGCACAATAAGCATGCGCGCGCGCCGGGATCGGAGATTTCCAGGCGACTGAGCGCGAACAAGCGACGACCTTACTCGCGAAAACCTTTGCGAAAAAAAGGAGTGAGGCAAGCCACGACATAATCTATTCACGCCACGCGTGCGCGCGCGTTTTTTTTTTCCGCGTGTTTGGTCGCGCGCACATCCCGCGTTCGGGGGATAAATTTCGTCCGCTCGCGCCACGCGTTGCGCATAATCTAATACAAAAGACGGCAACGCGGAAGGGAGAGAATCGCGCGCGAGCAATGCTAATTGCGACGGGGATTTGTTCCTCGGGCGGGAAGAAGCGGCGATTCGTTCGGTTTATCAGCTAGCAACTCGAACGACGAGACGAAATTTGAGCTGAGTGCTACTGTTGTCCCCTCGCGGGTGAACGCGATTTTTGAAGGCCCGCAGTGTGACTCGCGAGGCGTACTAAACAAATAAAGCAGCCGATATTGTCTGCCTTGCGCGAGGTACAGCGAGAGATGTATTGTAACTGTGTGGCCAAGTAGTGATGATAGAAAGTAAATCTCAGCCGATCGATGTAGGCTCGACCGCACTTGAGAGTTTGTGTCAATTCGGCTTAACTATCTAATTCATCAACGCGAGCGCGAGCAAAACTGGTTTCTCTCAAGGCTGACAGTCGTTTCTTTTCTCTCTCTCTCTCTCTCTCTCTCTCTCTCTCTCTCTCATCGAGCGCACGCTATCGTTTATCAGCGGCTTTTATATTTAGTTACAAGTGATTTACCGCCGGACACTCGGTACGCGTGGAAAAATCGTTTTTGTAATTAATACCTTTTCCGACGAAACTTTTCCGACCCCCCCCCCCCCCCCTGCTGTGTGCATCTGCCGTACGCCGTAAGGGCGAATCACGTCCTTGCAATTTTCTTTCTCGTTACCACGGTGTGTACAATGGAGCGCGCGCGTCAATGGGACTGTGACACCGTTTTTCTCTTGTAACGCACGGCTCAATTATGTGTTGACCGCTCGAGGGGCGCTTTTGTATCGCAGGGCTTGATTTTTCTTCTTTTTCTTGCAGCGATTATAGTTGGATTTGGCGAGAGCAGGAAAAACCTGCGTGGATTCGTTCGCGGAAATGCGCTCTATTCTTGTACAAAAGTTCGAGAATCGACGAAAACCAGTTTACGGGGCGCAAAAACTCGGCCGCGCTGTAGATAGCAAGAGTCGAGAAAGAGTTTAAAGATTTGGATTAGTCGATTAATAACGTGACGGTTTGCGTGCAGCAAGTTTTTTTTCGTTTTGACTAATCGTTCGACTTCAAGCTATGTACTTTGTTCTCAATTTAGTTGTTTGCGCAGTAAGAAAATGCACGCGATTTTTCCAGTGTGTAAAGACAAGTGAGGTCGCAACTTTCTTGTAACAGAGGCGTCAACTGCTTTTCATGTAAATCACCAATCGGAGTATTTATAGTGATAAACGATCGATTCAAGTGGCTATTTTTTGCCGCGTTAAGCTTTTGTATATAGACGCATTAACAATTACAAATGTGACGCGTATGACGCATATTAATTTGTTGATTCATCGGTATTTGCTACAAAGGCTTGATCCGATAAAATATTTATGCCGTCTTTTGCTCGAAAACAACCGTCGTAAATCCTCTTGCACTTCTCCCGTAAAGAAAAGATACGACAAGGAGAATTCGCAGAAGCAATCAAAAAAAAAAAGGGAATTTCGCAAGAAAGACGTTAAAATTGCAAAATTACACGGTCAAGTAGCAGAAGATTGAAGGAAAACGGAGTTGCAACATTTGGTTAGTGTGCCAAAAATTCTGAAAGTCGCATACGTGTAATGGCGCGATGGAAATTTAATGTGTTTTTTCTCGTTTTCATGGTTTGAGCGTGACATGTGTATAGTAATCGTGACGTAAAGGACAAGGTTTCATGCCAAGTTTGCATTGTAACGCTACACTTTGGAGGTTTTCCTTCTACTTATTATTTCGATGCTTGTTTTGTATGCCTTGGTCGGGATGAAATTTCGACGCTTGTTTTGTATGCTTTGGCCGGGATGAAATTAAAAAATGGTGACATCAACGCTCCATTCGATTTGATATGCAGAGATCGAGCAGTTTTACGCTCACTTGAACGAGTGCAGTTTGAATAATGCAATTACACGATGATTGCGCGTTTTTTTAATTTTACTGCCAAAGCAATAAATCCAGCCGGAACTTTGTATTCTTCAGGAAAGTATTTTTCTTCGTTTTTCACAAGCAAATCGGGTTCCGGAATTATTTTATTAAAAATTACGCATTAATATTTTCAAGCATACTAGACAAAACGTTAATTTAAAAATTGACAATTCCAAAAAAATTACTTTTCCGAAAATTCACGTCAATGCATACTCGCAATCATAGAAATATAATAGCCGAGTAACACACGTTTTTCCCACATGCCACGTAAAACGCAATCCGTAAAGCGCCTCGCGAACGCAATGCTTCCACGTGTAATACAAAAGTCGCCGGGTCTTTTTTCTTGGCCAATGTTTTTCGGCATCAGTACCACGTTTACCGACGTTTACAAATATACATTTTTAAGCATTACCGCCGCTAAAGGCGTACAATTATACGCGAAAAATAACAACTGCGCGCGATGAAAGAGAAAGCTCGTGCATGAGTTACGTACATAAAGACGATTATGTTGCTTGATTACATGGTCTTGTTCGTCGCGAGATCACATTGTGCGTGCGAGGAGTTTTTGTAATTGTTATGCGCGAGACGTTGCTTTATTATTAATGATGTCCAAGTGCGTTGCAGAATAGATCGTTGCTGCTGATGGAAAATATTGTACGATTTTTTTTTCGGCATTAGGGGAACAAAAATTCGCACTGAAATCGATCCTGCTGCACGATGGGTTTTACTCGCGAAGCTTTGATGTTCGTTTAATTTTATGCGTGTTTTTGATTTCGAGTAATGACTATTTTAAGCTAAGTAAATAATGATCTTGCGATTGCTTCATTAAGAATATCATTTTTACGATTGTCACTTTGCACAGTTAAAATAAAATGTTAATTTTGAAGAAATTTTCGTTGGGTGAAATCATACTTGATTGGTATTACCGGATACTCGTCTAAGAAATTATCATCGAAAAATTGTTGGCGGGATGTCGAACAGAAAAAAAATCCAAGTTTGAACACCTTTCGGTATTTAGGTTATCTACTCGATGGCAAAGCACCCAAAGATAAGATCGATTCTTTGGTTGTTTATTATCTAAAGCAAACACGATTTGAGCTATTTTCGATTAATCGCTCATACAAATTTTCGTCTGTTCGTACTTTCTTTCTCTTTGTAGTATTGCTTTCTTAGATTTTTTCGCCTAGTATTTTTTGACCAATGCAAGAAAAATGTATTGCTAGATATCCATGGTCTCTTTTAACGTCCAATGCTCAGAATCAACAAACGTAACAACCCTGTCGTTCACGTATGGTCACAGTAGATTTTTGTGTTTCTTTCGTTACACTTTGATTGTTTTTGCGTAATTTTCATTGGTTGGCAAAGCAATCTGTTCGCTGCCAACAACTGCGCCCTAACATTTCCAATCTAGAAAATCAACATACATTAAGAAACTATTTGAAATTCATAAATCCACGACAGATATGTCTCGTCCACTCATTCCGCGCCATAAAAACAGACCTTGAACTAGTCAGCGAAAAAAATAACGTCGCCGCTTTTTTCTCTCTCCGCTGCAGCTCGGTAAACAGCAATCACACTCGATAATTTGTACTAGAGCCCGGCGAACGATTGCGTCACGCGGATTCGTAAAGACGGACGAAAATGCCGGTAGCTCGCGCGCGAATATGTGACGCGTGGCCGGGGCGATAGCGCGGCACGACGAGCGATAAAACTTCTTCGGAGCGTCGAGAGAGCGACTTATCTGTTCTTCTGGTCTCTGGACCATTTAACGAGCCAATCCTCCTGGTTGGCTACGTGCAAAAATAGACGCGGGGAATCAATCCGTTCCCCTTCGCCGAAGATAAGTCGCACCGCGACTCATGAGAAATAATGCGATAATCGACCGTCGCTCTCAGATTTGGGTTAAACACGATTGTTACTCCTCCTGTCCCGGGTCACGGACATTGCTTCTCTCTCTCTTTCTCTCTCTCTCTCTCTTTTACTTACCGCGATTTTACGCATGCCACGGAGCTACGGCCAAGTAAAAGCTTTAAATTCGCGCGACGGACGCCGAGCGATTCGATCGATTCTCGAGCGGTCGGCTCTCCGTTAAAAATTGAATTGTCTGGGCGGCGGAAAGCGCCAATGATTCAGTGCCTCGCGGTAGGGCGCGACAAACGCGCGCTAAAGCCTTGCATTCGCGTAGCTCGTTTTCTCTCTCTCTCTCTCTCTCTCTCTCTCTCTCTCTCTCTCTCTCTCTCTCTCTCGCTCTTTTTGCACGCGTGGAGCAAATTTTTTGGCACGAAACTCGCAAGAAAAAGGGAATTCGCCGAGCGCGTCTTTCCTCTGCGCAATTTATATCATCTACTCTCTCTCTCTCTCTCTCTCTCTCTCTTGGCTGCAACTATGAAAGCTCGGCTTGTTTACGAAGGAGAACAAGCCTTTGGCGCGCGAGCGTCGCTTCGTAAATTTTTCAGCGAGAGCGCGGCGCGATTATGCAAACCAGGCGACCCTTTTCGCAGTTGAGAGAGAGGCGAGGGAGAGAGGCGGGCGGGTCAATTTGCGCGCCATTTGCATGAATGGGCCGGAAGGGGCAGTTTTCCTTTTTGCCCGGCCGCGACGACTGCGACGACGATAATGACCAGTGCGCCAGACACGCGTAATGGGATTTTCGACGCGCGTCTCTTTGTCTGGCGCTCGCGCGCACGTTCGATCGCTCCTCGCGCGCCGATGCGCCTCTAATCGGCCGCGCGATCTCTCTCGCGGCTTCTCGGCGGAGTGTTGTCGCGCGAAGGTCAATGTTACGCGACCGCGATAGCTCGCTGGTAAAAGTTGCGTTAACCTTTGGCGTGGAAAAAATAAGCTCTTGAGAGTTGCGCAGCCGTGCGAGCGTTCCGTAACTCTTCCAATGCAACATCGTGGCGCAATCGCAATATTTTGATCGCCCTCCTGTGGCCAAGTGTCGGCCGGTTCTTCTTTTTCGCGGCGGCGGCGTGAACGACACGGGGGATGGGCATTCGTTGCGCGTGGCGAACCGACCAGGTGTGAGATTTTTCAGAAGAAAAGGCCGCGTGTTTCTTTTTGAAATAGCCGCAGAGCGCGTAGGTAAAATTGCATTGCGGCTCTCGAGGCGACGCGGCGGTCAGCAGGGTGTCGGATTCCGTAAAGGATGTTTCGCTGGAAAAGAGGACTTTTCTTGCCATTTCCGGGCGGACAATTGCTCTTCATCGTCGGTAGCGACCGTGCGGTCCGTTTTCTCTCTCGAGTTTTACGCGATTCCTTGTCCTTCGATGGAAACTGCGCGAGTGAGCCTAACGAGGCAAGACCGTCCGAAAATACGCGCGTGTACGCGTACGACAAGGAGGATTGCTCGGTGGCCGCCCGGCGACAACGGTGGCCGCGACGACGGCTCGAAAATAAATAATCGCAGCGCGCGCACGCCGGCGAGAGGCAACTTTTCCGCGATCGGAAGCCAAGCGAAGAAGGAACGCCACTCGGCGCGTCGCGGGCGCGACGAACATCGATTTACATAAGCCGCGTCGCGCGCGATTCGAATGTCATCGCCGCGCGCGCGCGCACGTCGAATGACACGCGGTCAAGCCTTTCATCGTCGGCTCGAAGAACAGCTTTAACGACGCCATTGTCGGTCCGAGCGGCGCGGCTTTTATTATGCGCGTCCACCTACGTCGCCGCTGGAAGTATCGAACGTACGCTCGTTGCTTTGTCGCGCGCGAGCACGAAAGTTTCGCTCGTTCGCCGCCGTCGCGGCTGCGTCATTTAGATTGGCGATCGATTGAACTCACTGTCAACAGTTCAATTCGCGATGTTTGTTGCGCGCGCGTCGCTGGCAAACGGAGTTTCCGAATTACACGCGAGCGATCGGACGAGCCTTGGCGTGTTTCGCGAGCGCAAAGCTCCGTGCCCGCGTGCAAACTTTTCCCGCGGCGCATTGTGGGGCTCGTCGATCGACGTCCCGTTTCTTTTTCTTTTCCTTTTTCACGACGCGCGCTCGCGCATCGGCGTTTTCGCTTTCAAACGATGCACGTTATTGGTGTGCGGCTTCGCTTAACGTCTTTGGTCGCGGCAATCGAGAACAATCGCGCGGTCGGGCAAGGCCTCGCGTTTGTGTACCAAGCAGGCGGCCGAAATCGAAATTTTCGGGGCAGCTGCGGACTCCTCGGAGTACCAAGAATGGCCGACTGGCGGTCGGAGGAGAAACCGGTTGTTGGCCCGCAATAATCTCTCTCTCTCTCTCTCGCGCGCGTCGTCTTCTAAAAGGCACATGCAAACCAACCTTTCTTTTTGGTGCTGCTGAAGCGGATCGATGCGATTCGGCTTTCGGCTGCTGCTGTGGATCGACAGAGAAAAGAGCGACACTTTAGATGAAAACCACACTGATTACACTTGCCTCTCTTTGGGAACGATCAAGCGAGCGATTGCCTAGAACAGTGTTTATTTGCGCACTCGTATTCGGTAGATAAGTGCACTTGAAACAATTGAATCATCACTAGCTTGTTCGTGGCTTCGATAAGATAAGAAGACTCGGAGCTCAAAGCCAAAGAGCACGTGCTCTCTGCCAAGTCACGACGGTCTAAAGTCTAAAGTCTGACGTGCTCGTCCATCGCCAAAATGTGAATCATTACGATGCATCGTTCGGAGCTCTCGCGATAACGACTTCTCGTTGGGATCGGCTCGACGCGGAAACCCGTTTTTCCGCGCCCGGTCAGGTAGGCGCGATTGCCGATTGCGCGTCCAAAAAGAAAAATAGAAAGAAAAAAAGGATAACTTCCTCGACGCGACTGCAACCGAAACCGCAACACCGATACTTTCACTGATCACGCCACTACGCCAGCGAGTCCGCAAGGTGCACGAGGACACGTACGGAGCATCGCTGCTGGGTTCGCGCGGCCGCGCTCGCGCTTCCCGATTGTTGAATGAGAAGCGGCTAGTTTCCGCGACGAATCGCGAAATATCGTTGGCTCGGATGGCTTTCGACGCGTTGCTCGCAGAGCCGCGAGGCGTCGACGACAGCGAGGATCGATAACCGATCGACGCGTCGCACACGTGGATCCGCACCGCGGCGGGACGGTTCGCTCGGAGTCCCGCGGCATGTGCGTCGAGACGCCACTCGGCGAGAGACGACGGGCCCGGCGCCGCGGAGAACCTCCGCAATGATCGCGCGACGGCCGGCCAAGCCGGGAGGCCCGAAGTCGATTTCACCGCGGCTTCGGCGCGACGAAAGCGGAAACTCGCGCCGGTTCTCGGGACCGGTCATCACTGAAAACCGTACCGTGCTAATGCGAAAAGTCGAAACTGATGCGAAGCCTGGCAAAAGGAGGTAAGAGGAGAGAAACCAACTGGATGCGCAGTCTCGTATTTGGCCTCGTACAGAGGCTACGCAGCCGTAACGCCGGAGAGCAAAGCAAGCACGCGACTGCGGCGGCAGGCGAAAAAGCCGCGCGCACTTCGCTGTTCTATGTCTGTGGCGGCAGGGGGTGGGGGGGGAGAGAGACAGAGCGAGAGAGAAAGAGAGAGAGATAGAGAACGCGCGCGCGTTGAATCAAACGTTAGCGCGAGTGAGATAGAGGCAGAGTGGCGAGCGCCGATTCGTCGCTCACCTCGATTCCTCGGCGGTGGCGTGATCTCTCTCTCTCTCTCTCTCTCTCTCTCTATGTTGGACGACGACGCGGCGGAGGCTCGTTTCGTCCGACTCGCCGTGACGTCCCCCTCCCTCCTCGCTGTGCCCCTTGAAAATAATATTCTGAAAAAGGGCCACGCGACTCCATTCACGGGAGATGCTGCGGCGAACCTGCTTGAATTTTGGGAGTGATAATCTGCCGATAAATTGATGGAATCGACGTGTCGACACGGTGAATTTCGGTCGAGTGCCCTGGGTTTCTCCTTTTTGTCATTTCTAAGTGAATCATCCGCGGTCGACCAATTGAAATTCGCAATGAAAATTCACAATTTGGAATCCGGACGAAAGAGAGTGGCCGCACCTGTCGACGTCCCGGTGAGCAAAGTAAAGAAGCCAATATACGGTGGACAAAGTGGCGCTCGCGGAGCTCGCGAGATAAGGCAAAACGAACGAGACCGCGCTCCGATATCGACGGCGCAAGGTGCCGTTACCGCGGATATAAGGAGCTTTAGCCGCGCGCAGCACGACCGGCTACGAGCGTCGCATACGCTAATCGGGAACGCGCGAGCTTTCTCGGCTCTTTTTCCATGTCGATCGCGAGCAGCAGCAATCCGCGCGATAACCGAGATCGGCTTCCTTCGATTTTTCTCAGCCGCACCCCCTCGACCCCGAGAATTCCTTCTTGCGGGCTGCCCCGTGGGCGCGCGGTAATCACGGTTATTAGACGAGCAGAATCCGCGCGCTCGGTCCGAATCGCCTCCTGCGCTGAATCGGAGCCGGCCGACTGGCGTTTCGGGTCTAATTGGTCGAACGGCATGAAAGCCGCGCGCGTCCTCGCGAGCAGTCTCGTCTCTTCGATCGTCGCGGAATTGGATTTCACTTCGCGTTCTCGCCGTGGACGCAACAACGCGCGTCCAGATCGCTAATTAACCCGCAACAACCCCCATACGCTCGCGACCGAGCGCGCGCCGAAATAATTAACCATTTTCCCGGTAACGTGCGAGCGATAATTGCCGCGCGGATATTGGCCCCCCCTCCCTCACTCTCTCTCGCCAACGAGTCAACGAACGAATCGAGAGCTGCAAAAGTCGAGAGAAAAGAAAAGGTTGCTTATTTCCTGGGCGCAAAGAGACAGAGAGAGAGAGAGAGGCACCGATCACTTCTGCGAAAGATTCTCAACGAACAATTACCAGTAATGACCGACCGCCGCTCGACAGCGGCTAATAACGCGCTCGACTGCCTCCTTCTCCTCCTCATCCTCTTTCTTCAAAGGCTTGCAAATGGAATTGTTTTTTTTTTTCTTTCGATCGAAATCAAATTCGGAAGCGTCGCCGCCGAGAGAGCGACGCAGAGACGCGCGGGTACATATACGCTGAAACATTTATGAAGAGCGTCCATTAAGCTTGCACCCTCGCTCGTCGCGTCCTTGCGCGCAAAAACCCTTCGGCGCGCGCGAGTGCACGGATGCCGGCGAAAAAGTAGGTAAGAAAAAGGGAGCCTTGCCGAGGAACTATATCTCGATCCGAAAAAGGGCCGACGGCTCGTTATCGCCTTATCTCTCTCTCGCACCCCAGCACATCCGCGCGCGCTTTGCTTCCTTTTCTAGTTGGCTCGAGTGCAAAAATCGATTACTTTTGCACGCGCTGAATAATAAGAAAATTCCGCGAGCCCTCCTCCGCCCGCCATCTTTCTCTCTGTTGTTTTTCCACGTACACATCGGATGATGATGAGTTTCGCTTTTTCATGGTTTTTTTGTCGAGATAGTGCGAGTATGAGGGTTGTTACTGATTTATGAGGGACACGATACAGACCCCCGGCTATAAACGTCATTTTTCCGGATTAAAATATGAAGGCAGCGTCGCTTATTCTCTCTCTCGCTCTTGATTGAGTCTTTACGTCGAGATTATTACACGGCTTTGCAAAGCGAGGGGTGAGCTGTTTGAATAGATAACGAGGATGCAGGTCGAGGCGCGCGAAGCTCGAAAAGTTGGTCGACGGGACGACAAAGCAAAAACCGGGAAACAATCGCGCCGCGATAATCACCGCGAGCTCTTTATCCGCCCTCGCTCGCGAGAATCCAAGCGAAATTATGCCTCTCGAATGTCTCTCTTTGCCTTGCACCCTCGTGTCTCGCTCCGTTAACATACTTTATTTATGCGCGTCAAGAGCTCCAGAGGGTGGCCCCGTAACGAAGTCAAAGTGAAACTCCGGCCGGCGAGGAAAAGGGCGCAAAACGGAGAAACGCCGAGGCTCGCGGAGGCGCACAATGCAGCGACTAATAAGGAGCTGCAGCCTCGGGGCAGAGGCTTTTTAACGAGAGAGTGAGACTGGCCTGCGACGTGCATGCGACGTGTCCCCGCGAGCCGGGCGCGGCAGATGTCCGTTCTTCGGAGAGAGCCCTCGCGGGAATCCTTACGTACCGGGGTGTTTACGAGCGCTCGTTTTATCGCTTAACCCCGGCGACTCCGATCTCCTCTCTCACTCTTGGCCTTTTATAGCTTCCTCGCGTCCGTGCGCGCGGCGCTTTGATTTCTCCCAGATATACGGGCGCGCGAGAATTGTTATAAAGTCAAGTTTTCTTCCTGCGCGCTTTTACGATCTGTCGATCGCCGTCACTTTTGCCGGCGCTCTTCTCCCTTTATTCAGCTCGCGCGACGTCGACTGCGCTTTCTTTGTCTCTTTGTCGCGCTCTGCGCCTCTAACTGCCGAGCGTTCATTCATCTTTTGCTTCAGACAGAAGAGACAAAGATATCCGATGCAGTGTACCGACGTCGCCGTGCGCACACACCTAATCAAACTCTTCGAACGCGAATCTTCCCTCTCCAGTCCGCAAGCACCGCACAATGTGCACAATCTACGCGCGCGCATGGTTCGCTCGTCACGGTTAATTAAAAAAACAAAAAAAAAAGAAAGATACGAACATTTGCGTACAGAATCGGAAGCAGCGCCAGCCGGTACATACTGTATATTCACGGTCGATTATTATTAGGGCGTTTGCCTTGATGGCTCGTGTGTTTGAGGCGAGTTACTTTTCCTCTCCCTGCTTCACTTCCATCGCTGAAGGGCAGCATTCATACTTCCCTTTCTTTTATCAGTTTCTCACGATATACATTACCAACGTATCTGCGAGAGAGACAGGAAAGTCGAGGGAGAAATAAACTTTCTTGATCGATCGCGTTGCGCAAGTTAATGTTTAGTCGATAATGCATTTTTCAACAACGAGACGTTTCGCAACAGCGCGCGCATCATTATGAACATTCTTTCGGAAGTGTCGAGTAGGTGAATCGCTTTTTCAGCGTGAAATTGCGCACTTACATAGCGCCGCCAGCGGCAGCTGTCAATTACTATCGATTTCGTGCATACTTGAGTAATCTGAGGATATTAATAATTAATCCGCGAATGTGCCCGACCTTGTAAAACTAGCACGCGATGAAAGTCTAATGAATTTCGAATAATCTGCAGTGATAAATGAGGCAGCTCATTTTTGTTTGTAACGTATTATCTTTTGAACTAATTTACTAAATATCTAAAAGAGATAATTTTTAAATATACGCGATTTTCGTCATTTGAAAATTTTAAAAACTGACAGTTTCTTGGTTATCGACACAACAAAACAAAGAAATCTTCTATTTTATCAACAGGAGCAGCACCATCTACCCGCCTTGCACAGCTGAGCGAAACTCTCCAGAAAAAAACATCTCAAAAACAACTTGATTATCGTCGTAAGCCGCACAAAGTATTAAACTTTCGCAAGAGAGTCAAGTTGTAATTCACTCAGTTATTACGTATAAAACACGTGCTTGAAGTACATTAAGAAAAAAAAAGAAAAATGAGGGAAACAGCTACGTAAGCGTATCACATGTACTCGAAGATGTACGTCCTTATATAAGAGCACGACTAGAGCACTAATCTTGGTATACAACCCTGAATATTACAGTGGAAATTTTACGTTTTGCAGGTCATCCGAAGGTTTGTCGTACTCTTTGAAAACTCTCTTTGCATACAAAATATGATTCATAAAAAGAGGTTATGGTTTTAAAAAGTAAAAGATCACTACTATAAAAATTAATATCAAGCTATTTAAAATTCTACTGTGGACAGCATCATTAATTTACATGCAGTAACTTTCGTATATCTGAAAAACAACCTACATTTTTTGCTACTAAGCATCAATGAGACTGCAGATCTACATTGCTGAAAATAATCTTGATGAAAGTGTCGGGTAGTTCGGAGTCACTTAGAGCTTTCAGAGATGTCTGCACTGGTTCCGTCAGTTTGTCTTTTAATCATCGCTGATACGGCAGATGCAACAAGTAGCCATGGATTTTAAAGTTAACCTAGTAACGCTTGATCCTCAGAATTTCAACAAACTCGTCGTTCTTTATGTGTCTTGTCACGTCGTTAACGCTCAAATAGAATATCGTACATGGTCATGTAATCGTTGAATTTCAGATTCTTCATTTTGATAACTACCTTGGCGTACAGCCCGAGAAACTCGTTAATCTTTGGAATTTTAAATCGATGTAAGTAACATTTTTTCAACTCCTGCAGACAAACTCACATGGCAGCCGATGAATTTCAAGTTGTGCACGTAATATCTGTTGGTTCAGAAAAACAAGGCACTGGATTCTTGCTTAATTTGATAGCCATCATAATTGAGAGGAGTTTGACTGAATTTGTCTTTGACATTGATATCTGCACCATAGTTCAGGAGTACAATAATACCTTTATTGTAACGATTTAGACACGTCATGTGAAGTGGAGTCTGTCGGTATCTATCCAATACATTTTCATTTGCTTTGTAGTTCAGTAGTGTTGTTGCCATTTGATCTACAATCGATCGAGTTGATGTACAGCTTGCTTAGGTCAGTCAACTTGTTGCACATGGATAAGAACAGTGGTATTACATTTCTGCTGGTGTTAGCATTGATGTCTGCACCCACTGATAACAATTGCTAAGCTAACTTTATTTCGCTGTTCTTGTAAAATATCAAGTTCCTGTTGGATAAGTGCTGCAATAGTCATATCATCTTTATCAGATAGGTCTACTTTTTAGTTGATCTAGAAATACTTTAATTAATTGTAAACACATGAATTTGGTCTAGTTATTTGACCTATTCTACTTGGGTCTAAACACTTAAATGTTTTCAGTATATAAAACCATAGTGTTCTGTCATAGTTACCTCTTGCATTTTCATTATGCTCATTCGTAAGAATCATTTCAACTATTTCAACTTTTTACTGATTTGCTCTTCTTAATTTTTTTTGACTTGTAGTAGGGTAACTCTACAAGTGTCAGGATTTTAAGTGATTTTTTAAAACTACATTGGCAGACCATATGTAATAGTGTAAACCTACATTTATCTGTTACATTTATTAGTGTATTGTCAGAATTTCCTTGTAAAATCTTAACTAATTGTGCTTTTGATCTGTTTCAAGTGCAACAATGTTTAGCTTATTCACAAACCACCTCTAGGGATTTGATACATGAAGACAAATCTTTTAACATCAATTTTATGTACAACACAGCAAATGCTTCAGCTTTAATACATCTTTTTGGCTGTATGCTTTTATGAATAAGTCTATGATAGGTCCAATTTACTTCTTGCATGCCAAACAAAATGGAGATTGGTCTATTAAATCTTTAACCATAATATTACTACAAACTTTCAAAACTGATTCAACTGTTTCATACATCTGGTTTCAACTGCAAAATACAGAATGGACTAGCTAGCAAAGTAGTCTATGTAAACATGTATACAACAGACTAGATTACAATCAAAATTGAGAAACTATTTTACCAAATTTACAATTACGAATTAATTAAATTTTTTCATGACTAATCTTTGTCATAGATTCGAATGTATTTTCACTTTTGTAAACAATCTTGTGAGCAATATTTGTTTCAATAATATAGTTTTAAGATATCTTCATTTGGTTTAAAGATGCACAATGAAAACGTGATTCTTTAAAATTATTTTTGAACACATCCTCTACTCTGCAAACATTATTCAGAAGTAATATTATTACATCGTTCTTTTCTTGATTCAGTGATACTATTAAAAGTTTATAGTTAGTCTAGTCATAATTAATAATTTTATGACATGCAATCCTTTTTTGAATTTGAAATTTTCTTAAACAAAAATATAGTATTGTTAGAAATTAATTCATATGTTACATTTTAAGATGTAATACTAATACTTTTAAATTTGTCTCATTGCCAAAATAAACGACATGCGAATACACTGACTGTAAGCAACGAATGAGATGATTATACCAACATATCTCATCAGAACTATAATGTTTTTAATATTTAAATATTGAATGGTATAATTTAGAGATACTAGAAGGGTAATGTTTTTAATTTTTTAATACCGAATGGTATAATTTAGAAATACTAGAAGTATATAAGCACGCGTATCGCGCGCGCAAAATCTAATGTTTCGCGTACAATAATAGAATAAAATTAGTGCGTAAAAAATACTCGCTATTAATTGTAAAGTTACAGTTATATGTGAATATTCATAAAAGTGTAAATCTATTTATTATAATAGCAAATGGATCAGCGAATTTCACAATTGATCATATTTATTTTTGAAGAACATAGAATATAATCTCTTTCTATTAACCAAAAACTATTTTTAAACAAACATTAACAACACTGCCAGTTATATTCTATTATCTTTTAATTATTTGAATTAGAATTTTGGTGTTTTTCAATTTAACTATTACTAGAATTGCATAATTTCTTAAATAAATAAATTATCAATTTATTTAACTCCAAAAACGCCTAGACACATAGCCTTATTAAAAGCTTCACAATTACAAGACCTATTATGTTACAATATCTTCTTTTATAATAAATTTAGTTTGACATGTTTTTCTTAACGTCAGAGTGAATGACAGTTTCGATAGCTTATTTTCTTCAATGGAATCTGTATTTTGGTCCGAACCGAGCCGTTTAATTAAGAAAAATTTTTTTATCTCCTTTGAAAATCACTTTTCTATTAAAAAATAAATTAAATATTTTAGAAAAATTAATTTATTTCAAAACATGACAAAATAATTTTTGAGAAAAATAGCTCTGTTAGATCCAGAGTATAGATTCTAACGAAGAAAATGAGCTCTTCAAAAACGATCTTCGTTCACTCTACTGTTCAGATAACTTTAATAAATGCTGAGATATGACGTATTCATAGCAAAATTTATCTCTTCAAAATAAAAAAGTGCTTTCAAACAGTATTAAATAATATGACAAATGAAGTATAAATTAGAGTTAGAGAATATAATTATAAGATGACCATTGTTATTATTATAGAAAAACAAAATTTACAATGCACTCAAAAGAGAAATTAAATTATTGTTCCAGGCGAAAATGTACGTGAAAGACAAAGTGCTGGACGCAGATCAATGGCGCGTGGAAGCTCAAGCAATTATCGACGACGTACGTCAGCACGTACGAGGGCTGCAAATCAGCAATGAGCCAGCACTACGTAGCAGTAACCGGGCAATACACTTGAACTTGACGACTCTCGAAGGTTTGGAATTTTGTGTGAGATTGTCGCCTAAAGGTTTCAGCATAATTGGCAATAAACACGACTGCATGACCAATGCCGATGCTGATAATCTCCAGTATTTTGAATCCATTTATGGTCTTCTGGATTCAATCAGTCCGCAATACAGGAATTCCTTTGGAAACAGCCTGCTGGACAGGCTCCAGCAGTTGAGTAATAGCCAGACGTGATGATGGCAGAGTTTTTTTTTATGGATATTTGTTGATGAAATTGTGCGTGTGTGAAAGCTGTGATTGATTGTCGGTGATCTGTTTTATGTTTAAGACACCACACGTATAAGATTGGAGGTACAACCGTATTTATTACGACGAATTTTGTAATATATATTATTGTAATAAAATAAGAAATTGAGTATATTGTGGCTTCCGTTTTCTATCGGCACTCGACCACAACCTCTAGTAATCTTAGAACTTAAAATCACGGTTTAGATTCACCCTTTTCACTGCTTGATCCCCATTTCATCAGCGGGGAAATAACTGGCGACGAAGATAACTACAGGAATGGGCTATATCATTTCTGCCGGAAAGGCCTTCAATAAAATAGTTGATCTTATGGAAATTCCACCGGATGGAATTTTCAAAACATTTCAAAAGCAACAAGATTAAGCGAAATTTCCCAAAAACGAATGTTTGTTGTTCATTTACATAATAGAACTTTGCTTCTTGCAACGTGTGACATAACGTTAGTGAATATTACTTAATAAATGCATCTACATCATGCGTTTATCAATTATTATGGCTACATATTTCGTTGTCAACGCAAACAAGGCGACTGCTGACGAATCATCGTGTAAAATCATCGCTGAAGTATAGTATATGCATACGCAAACAAAGTACGCGTTGAGCATTTCAAAGCGCAACGAGCGTCGAAGGCCAAAGCTCCATATGAAAATTCGAAAGGAGAATTGTTGCATAGCTCTGTGTCCTTAGATCTCTTGGTGGAGTGCTCGATCGTAATTCTCGCTACGCGAACGAGGCATGGCGTCGCGAGAAATCGCTATATCCTTGTCAAGTCTGTATATACCGACGACATTGTTTGTATCTGGCAAAAGACGGCCGATTTTCTTTTTGGCCGATAAACAAGGAAACGTGAGCTTTCTGGCGCTCGTTCACTCCCTCGCGCGATTGAAAATCGACGCGGCCAAAGAGCTTCGTTTGACGCAGCGCGCACTGCAGCAGCACGTGAATTTCAGGCGATCTGTTACGCGCTAGAAAGAACAAGAAAAATTCACGTACCGCCGTCGCATCGTGACGCGATCGCCCATTCAAAAAGAAAGAGCTTAATCTTCGACGATAACTCTCGCGTGTACGTGCACTCGCTGCCGATTCGTTTATATTTGGAGTGGAATGTTTTACGTCCATCTCTCTCTCCCTCTCTCTCTTTCTCTCTCTCTATCTCGGATGCCGCACCGAGATAGGATGATTGGCATTTGCATCTATGACTCATATGCATCAAAATTTCGAGCACCCATCTCTTTAATACGCGTATGTATATATACACAGCTTTCTACGTCAATTCTTTTATTACAATTTTTTTTTCCTCAATGAATCGTGCGTAATTAAGCAGCGTGTTATCGCACACACGCAAAACATCGTATATTATTTTCTTCATTTTTTCATCGTTCGCAAGAAGACAAATTTTGTCATGCACGTGAACCGTACAGGAATGTGTTGATACCCGCGTAATAACGATTTCGAATATCTCCTCGATTGTCAGACTTTTTCACTATCTTATTACATATCTCTGTGACTTATCTCTCTCTCTCTCTCTCTCTCTCTCTCTCTCTCTCGCACGCCTTATAATCGCGAATTCTCATTGAAGTATTGCGCGTGGCTTTTAGAAAATCGGCTGTTTTCGCCTCGCCTTCACCTTTCGATGGAAAAGTTGCACGTGACCGGCGCTTCGTGCGCGCAAGTATTTTCATCACGATGATTATGCAATGAAAACATATGAATTTCGCCGTTCAGCCAAGGCCTTGAGGATGCTGCGCTTGATATTTCTATCTGTCGAGTTTTGAGTACGAGTGAGATGTTAACGTGGCAATACGAAACCGACCAAGTTTCCGAAGCTGATAAAACAATACGCCGATTGCATCACTTATTGAATTTGTATATAAACCGTCCTAAGCGTGAAATATTTCCGAAGCGTAGTTTATATAATTAGTAATGTGCGATGATAATATGAAAATATCGTTCGATGATAAAACAAAAAATAAAGAAGTGATACCAAGCTAATTAAGATTAGCTGAATTCGTGATATTTCGCGTGGCAAAAAATATAGCGGAAAGTACGCGTAATCGTAAATACAAAAATTCTTATTTGTAATCTATACGGCGGAGTTGATGAATAGTTCGAGAAAAAAAGTACACACACATACACATATGTATGTATATATATATGTACGCATCTTGCGTTTTTGCGGTGTCGCGGAATACTATTTCCGTAACTTTCTCCCCGTGCGCACGATTCCCTGCGATTCCGTGCGCGCGACAATTTAATTTTCACTTCGGCAAGCGTGTTATCCGACAACGTCGATGGCAACGATACGACATGTTAATCCAACATCAATCGATTGTTTTGTAACCCTTTGCTATTGTTTTGCAATACATATTTCAAAGGCGCGTAAGGTCATGGATATATTTAGAAATGTTTCGACAATAAGTTGACAGACCGCTAAAAGAAAACGAATTTTAAAAAGTGCCGTGAAAACCAAATTGAAATAAGTACTTGATTGTGACGTTACGTTTATAATTGTCGAATGAAAAATCCACGATATTTATAGTAGCTATATAAAACAACCCATCTACTACGCCCAGCAGCGAGCAGCAAAAAAAAAACACTCGCGCATTCTTCGATCCTTCTTTTCCTCGCGGGTACGTAATCTACCTGAATCAGTCGTACGTAACATACGTGGGGACTTGCGTGCTGCGTGCGCGAGAGAAAGAGAGAGAGACGCCATTATAGATACTCCCCGCGGCGTTGTGTCAGTAGTAGTCGAGTGCTCGTCACCGTTAGCAGCAGCAAAGAGCAGAACGATAAAATCACGATTCGCAAAGGTGCAGCGCCAGGACACACCCGGAGGTGGGTGTCATTGACTCTAAAGTGTATTGTGAGACACTTTTGTTTTGTTGTATGAGAGAAAAGAAGCTCCGCACTTTCCAACACATCGCTGCACATACAATGCTGTGTATGAGAGTATGTGCCTATGATATGTGTGAAAGTGCGGACGATTAGGGATTTAATGTGGTCATCTGTCATCTCTGCGACAAGTGCGTGTTACTGCAGTTTTCACCGTGAGGGCTGCTGCGAAAAAAATGTTTTTTCTGTGTTACTTATGTTTGTTACTGTTTGTAATGTAATAAGGTTATAACTAATTGTGATTGTGGTTTGCTGTGTAAAAGTACCTTTCTTATTAAGAGTACTGCCGCCACTGTTAAGCGTGTTTTTTACACATTGATGACGAAAAGTTGGAGGCTACTGTTGATTGAATCATCAAACGTATGAGGGCTTTTGGTTAATGATAACGATTGAGATACCTACTTTTATATTTTTTTCAATGACATGTATGATTTTTTGACCTATTACTGAGCTTGATTTGTACATTAACTGTTGTGCAATTTGAATTTAATATAATAGTACTATCTATTTGACAATTTAATTCGTAACAGCTTTTTTTTATTACTATTAAAGTGAAGAAAAACAATTAATTAATTGAACATTTGTAATGAAAATTTTATTAATGAATAGTACATTTAAATATCATAATGATGACTCAATTGAAATAAAGTAAACTATTGTGTAGTTACTCAAATATAAATTTTATACACTAATTTCAGTAATATTTTTATAAAGATAACTTAAGTCACATAAAATAAATTTTGTGTAAAATATTTTTGATGCTTTCAATTTATCAAAAGTTCCTTTTAAGACTGTTAGCTTCTAGACAGTTTTCTTATGAACTGCTTTCATTGACATATGCGTCAAAGCTATTTGGAATGAGTCACATATTACAATCTTAGTCAGTAATCTTCAATGGAATCTTCAAGGGGAATGAACAACTCATTTGTTTAAGCATAACTAATGAAGCTCAACAACTCTATGATGTTAACTTTAACTAAGAAATATTACAACTATACCATTTATGTTCCAACATGATTATAGGATTATATAAATGCATTTATTTTAACTGATCATAAATGGGAATATTTCTTGGTTGTGATAACTCTCCATTTATAGTTTTAGGAACTTATAGATAAGATATTACAATAACAAAAAAAGTAAAACATAATTATTCAACTTCAACGGTACTATCAAACTACAATAACTCTGACTTATCCTTCTTGTTCACAAATGATAACACAAAAAAGGAAACCTAGAATAAAACAAGTTCAACGTTATCAATCGTTCGTGCTTCGAGAGAGAAACATAAAAAAGTTGGAACTAGTGTAACGATAAAAAAAGTTCTTAGTACTATTTTTTTCCTTTTTGCAGATTTATGAAAAAGGCTAGACAGATGTTAAACAACATTAGCACCATTTTCCAATTGGGAAGGTATGGCTAGCTTGACTGTGACAACCTCAAGCAAAAACAGCTCAAGAAGTGCATCGCCAAACAGAGCTAACCATCCTGGTCAGCAACAGGTCACCAGCAGCAACTCAGATCACACACCTAAGTCGCGGAATGCTAGCGCGACGTGAGTTTTTTCCATTATTATTGACTCTTATTGATGATATAGACTACAAATTGTACAGAATTCTTCAGAAAAAAAAATACACGCAACGTTCTATGTTAATTTTTTCCCTATGTGATTAATATTTTTCAAGTAAATCTGATCGATAGTTGCACCATTTCGAATGATATGCCATGAGCAAGAAAAACAAATGAGTTTAGTCATTCTGCTTGAATTATCGTGTGTTTTTTTTTCTCATCATCGTGGAATATTTGCTCAATTGAGACACATGCGTAGGAAGCAAATGAAATCGACATCCAATCAAGCGAACAATTGATAGAGATTGCAACACGTGCACGCTTTAAGAAAGAAAGAAAAACCTAGTCGATATTAATGTTTTATTGGAAATAATTAACAGTAGTGCGAGCGAACGGAGCTATCACAGGGTCATCGCGTGACCGGAAAAAAACTGATAAATTATGGCAGTCCCAAGCAAAGTGCAGGAACTCCGCGGTAATATTGAAAACAATATAAATTTGCACTCTGTTCCGACAGAACCTACCGGCTGCACCGTCACCACCACTACACAAAGGCACAAACATACATCATCACAGCACACGCATATAGAAAACGCGACAAGCTACGAGCGAACGTGCAATATCGAGGTATATCTGTTTGTCTTGCTCGATTAATATCGAGGGTGGTAGAAAACGAGAAGACGGATTGATATGAATTTGATTGGAACTAATAGAGAGAGAGAGAGAGAGAGAGAGAGAGAGAGAGAGAGAGAGAGAGAGAGAGAGAGAGAGAGAGAGAGAGAGAGAGAGAGAGAGAGAGAGTTTGTGTGTGTGCATGTGAGTCATCGAAAAAAATATCACTGCTTAATTCGATTGAACGTAGTAGTAGTAATATGCTAATGGAAAAGTCAGATTGAAGTAATAACATCCGAAAACAAAGACAAAACCTAATATTACAGCCTTCTTCGTTATGTCACTTGTTCTTGAAAGCTTTATAACATGCTTCTCAAAAGTTAATGTATGTACGCTCACGACAATAGATGTTTAATACGTGCTAATTGAAATGGAATGTGGAATGCTGGAATATATACAAATTCTCTTAATGAGGCATTAAATTTACTTTTATTGATGATTCATATATTCTTTTTTCCTTGAAACGGTTTCATATGCGAGAGTTCCAATAAATGTCCATTTAAATGATCGATATAAAATTCTATAAAGCTATATATTATGCATTATTTTTGGTTCATTGTTAAAAATTGAAATACTGATTTGTACTTTTTTTTATTTACAAAACTCGATATTAGGAAAATAAGGCTTCTTTACAACACCGTCATTCACGCTTCAATTAACACTCTCAAATTGGATTGAATTCCACACTTGATGTTACATTCTACACGTCGTTAAGCGTAATATATAGATTACATATTGAACGAATCAATCATCGACAAGAGGTGTCCTCAAAATTTTTAATCAAACAATACATTTAGTACTTAAAGATTATCGGGAGCATTCTAAGTATTTTTATACTGCACAGTCAACAAGCGACGACGACGACAACAACAGGAGCATCAGGTGAAGCTGAAGCCGCGATGAAAAGCAGCGGTGGTGGCAGTACGAGGCAAAGGTCACCAGGTGCGATGGCACGAGCAACGGCTGCAGCGGCAGTAGCAAATGATTCTACCCTCGACGACTCAGTAGCCAATGTGTCTTATCTCTCGGGCGACGTTGAGGATTTTCATCCATCTATCGACGACGATGCTGCTGCGGCTGTGAGTTTCTTTTTTTAGGATTTGTGAGTCACGATGGCCGTGAACTTCTACTTTCGCCGAAATGAACTTTCGTGCTCGTCGCATCAATTGGAAAGTTTTCGTTTACAATTCAAGAGAAAAAGCGAAACAAGCTTGAAATTATGTTTGATCACGCGGTTTTTACTTTATAGGTCGCGGTAGTATAGAAAACGATCTAATAAAATATAAGTTAAGAATAAGATCAGAATAATAATGAGGTTATTTAAATTAAGGAAATAAATATTAAAAAATAAATGTGTAATATCTAAAAATAATCATGCGTTTCTTAGGAGATAAGGTCGTGAGTTGCATAAGGAATTAAACTTTTGTGTTCGCGAGCTTTGTTATAAATGGATCAATGACGACATTTATACCGTGAAAAAATTTTATGTCGTTCTTTGGGTATCGATAAAAATCACATGGAAATTTTCGTGCAAAGAGAATTGAACTATATGACAGTTTTGTTAGTAGGATGATAACAAGAATTGCTTAAATAGCGTGTAACACACAGAAATTGCCCTTGTTGTCATCGGTAGATTAATGACTTAAGCGATTGAATATTGTTTTAAAAACTAAGAAAAACGTTTGTTTTCTCATAAGTAATTAAAGTCATCGTACTTTGTCGACACAACATAAACATTCATTGATGATATATTCCAGGTGGATACATCATACGGCCACGGAGGTCAGCAATCGCTCATGTCTAATGGTTCGTCGGAATTATTGGGTGCAGAAGACGTCGACAGCAGAGCTCGACAGGCAATTGAACATATCCAAAACAAAATTGCAAAGACGCGCGAACTCATTAGGACTGAACAGACGACGAGAGATGGTTAGTAGATATAGAAGTTTAGAAAGTGAGGAAGAAGTTTCATTTGCTATGCTAATAAGTTTCTAAAGTAAATATGGTAGTGTCTAAACCCACTTATTATATAATTACCGAGTTAGCAGTTTGTTGACACGTGTGGTCTTAGGCAAATACTTATTAAAGCTTTTTCGTCGAATATGACTTTTCTAAAGTGCATATTATCAATATATCGTATGTTTTTTTACACTCAATCACTATTGTCGTTTACCGTTGACTGTTGTAGAGAACGTAAATGAATATCTGAAACTTGCGGCAAACGCTGACAAGCAGCAACGCACGCGAATAAAGACAGTCTTTGAGAAGAAGAATCAAAAGTCGGCGCATAATATTCTTCAGCTGCAGAAGAAACTCGACAGCTACCAAAAGAAATTAAAGCATTACGAGCAGAACGGTGCCCACATTTCCCATCGACAGCCACGCGAAGTTCTGAGGGACATGGGTCAAGGCTTGAAGTATGTTTGTCATATGCAATATTTAATTGAAGCTTTGCATGAAATGTCTTTCTTAGTTAGCTAAATTTACGAGCAAACGGAGTGAAATTTGGTAGTTCGATTAGATTTAGTGATCATATCATGTTTCTTTAATAGAACTTAGTGACCAAAACGCACGAGACCATTCGTGTTTCAAGTTACTTAATTTTGTTTTAGCTATTCATTATTCTACAAAACACGTCAATAAATATTTCATAATAATTAACTGATTGTTTTTAATGAAAAATTGTTTTGAAAACGGCTACATTCAATATTAACCCAAGTTATTTCATGCGAGTTTCAAAAAAACATGAGTTAATTGATTTATTTTTAACTGCTTCTGTTGTTCATTTAGAAATGTAGGTGGTAATATTCGTGATGGAATCACTGGATTCTCGGGGTAAGTTCAAGCATGTTTACCACGAATAAAACTGACATTACTATATTTAATCATAGCAAAAAATAAGTTATGTATACTTTTACTTCACTAGCAACTTTATAAAATCGATCTTTCAGCTTGTATCTTTAGCCTAATATTTCAATATTCACTTATTTTCGTAATTTTTGTGATTCTATAATCTAAAGATCATAAACAAATGATACATAATTAATAATAAATAATCTTTCTAATTACAGAAGTGTTATGTCCAAACCGCGAGAATTCGCCCACTTGATAAAAAATAAATTTGGCAGTGCCGATAACATAAATAGTATATCACGTAAGTTAAAACCAACCATATTATAACGTAGTAATGTATTGCGCATATATTTTAATAAACATTATGATCATTGTATCGTCGCAACGTGACTCGCATACAAAATTAAAACTCACGCTTTTAAAAACACTTTCACTCAATTCAAAGTAAGAAACTACAAATTCACTCGTAATTAAATCACCACTGTCCACATCCGCAATCGCTGAATTGGCATAAAGTGCAATTTAACACTAGCTCTGGCTGTTTTTGCTTGATCTTGTGGTAGAAAGCAAAACAGTGTTACAGTTGAAAAGACTTCACTTTCTATTTTTCTCACTACTTGACATGACGCACTTGTACAAACTTACATTCGTCGAGGTTGTTCAGAGTTTACAGAATCTCGTTCTGTTTATCTTATCCAATACTACTGATTAGTTGATTGGTTAAATGGCTTGAAAAGATAATATACATTTTTTATTATAGTCGTCGATTGAAAGCGAAGTTTTTTCGATGCAAGTGTTACATTCGATTACCAAAAGATTTCTAATATTTTTTTTTGTCCAAATTTTTCACTCAAATCACTCAAATAAACAATCATCTTTTAAACCGATAACCATTCAGTGAATAAAATGCGAGACTGCTGCGTCGAACCACTATACCGAAAAGAAATTACTCAAAATTTTTTGCTTAACTTTCTTAAATTAAAAATAAAAATTACATTTCGGCAACACGATTTCTTTTCTCAGTGCATCATCTCATCAAAAAAAAAACTGATCAATCTCGGTGTTCAAGCCACCCATATAAATGTATTGGATAAGTGACAATGAGAAATAAATTACAACTAACAGCCAAACATGTTTGTTGTGCTCTGTGCTCTCTGACCGCAGATGGCTCGACCTTTTATGTAAACGATACGACCCATGCAACAGGTAATAACGCCGACAGCGGAAGTGCCGAGGACGAGGGTAACAAGGCACACCACGGATCGGCAACATTGCCAGGTGGTTGTAGTCTCGGTTCAAATAATAGCGGAGCCGGAGCTGTGGGAACTAGTGGTCAAACAGGTGCAGGTGGTGTCAAATTTCCCTCGGAGGAAGGCTCCGAATGTTCAAGCGTGACCAGTGAGAGTGGACCCGGTAGTCGTGGACAAGGACACACTTGTGGAGCTCACGATGGTAACAGGATTTGCAGCTTGAAGACTATTTTTACTGAACTTCAGGAGCACCGAGAAAGCTTCGATAGGTTTAGAGAGAAACTCGAAGCATTGAAGGTGAGTTTCAGCGACATTTTTCCATCAATCAATCTTACTGCACCATAATAATAACAATGTTAAATTCTAGACGGTACAGCAAGAAGTGAGTTATCTATCGCAAGCACTACAAGAAGAGCGTTTCCGCTGCGAGCGGCTAGAAGAGCAAATAAACGACTTGACGGAATTGCATCAGAATGAAGTGGAAAACCTCAAGCAAACCATTACCGATATGGAGGAGAAGGTTCAGTATCAAAGCGAAGATCGATTACGAGACATACATGAGATGTTGGAAAGCTGCCAGACGAAAATATGGAAAATGGAGCATCAGCAGCAGCAGCATCAGCAGTATGTCACACTCGAAGGCTTGGATAACAGTAATGCCCGTGCTCTCGTTGTTAAACTTATAAACGTCGTGCTTACCGTACTACAAGTTATACTACTGCTCGTTGCTACTGGTGCTGGTATCATGATGCCGTTCCTTCGGACGAGGTGAGTACTTGTACAGCTTTCTTCCGTTCTTCTCTGCTCTTCATTAACAATTTCATTGTCACATTTGATTATTGTTGATGAATTAACAACTTTCCTTGTACAATTACGCTGATGACAATGTGAATTTCAGTGTGTGTATTAATGTACACTTAAAAAGTTGCTTGTATATTTAAGAACGCAATCACATTTGAAATTCACACAAGTATCAGAGACGATAAAAGAAAACAAGCATAAGTTTTTCTTGTACACCATCAGTCTTTGTCGCACAAACTTTTTATGCACAACGATCGCTGCCATTTTGTCATCTTTACCTACGCCTAAGAACGTTTTATTATTTGCTGGCATATCTCATCTGTTTTATTTTGTTTTCCTCCCGCCTATGCGTGCGGGGTGTGTTTTCGCGTTCTGTTTCAGCTGTACTAAGCCACATTGTTTCATGTGCAGGGTGCGCATACTAACCACGACATTCGTCGTGTTGGGAATAGTGTTCGTGTTGAAGCAATGGCCTGAAGTTCACGACGTTGGTAGTCACTTGATGCGCCATCTCAAACAGACTCTCGCTGTCAAGTAGCATTCCTTCTTCGGCCATCACATCCTCGTTATCATCGTCGTTGTCGTTAAGCTTCACTGCGCATTGACACCGAGATTATCTAAATGTTTAGATTTCCTCCTTGATTCTAATTTTCTTTTCTTTCTGCTATACGTGATTATAATCTTTCTACATACATATGTATGTATGATGATAGCTGGGACGAGTTTTCGAGGGTCAAACAAAAAAGGACAAGAAAGAGAGCTTTGTTAAATATGTCAAGGAAACTCGTTTATTCTCTTGATTAAAGTGAGCTTTCCGAGTGATTAGGTCGGTCGTGGTTAAATATACTGCTCGAAAGAATAATTGAAATGTACTTGAGTTCTGTTCTCTTTCTTTTTTCTTTTTTTTATTCTTAAATCATTGTGTATCTTTAATGATTTTTATATTTAGTGCGTGTAATTCATCATTTTCTTCGCTGTAAAACATTGTCTTCTTTTTTTATTTATCATTTTGTCGACGCTTTCGAGACGAGCGTTTATACGTATATTTTTCTATGAATGTCGCTTTAATAGCTTACGAAATCACGGTGAGAAAAAATTCCGTGTACGCCTTATATTTTTCCTCTTTGCTAGCGACAAAAAAAGCAAAGTCTTACGTTATTTTCCATCTAATCTGTATATTTTAATTAGGAATGTGATTGCGAAAAATACAATTTTATCTAACTGTAAAAAAATTACAAAAACTCGGTCGAGATGTGAACATGTCCCTCCAACAACGTAATAAAACGAGAAAAAGTAAGGAACAATTCTATCCATATCCATCAAAACTTAATTAAACAAATAGAAAATCACGTGAACTTTGGAAAAGTGTTGCTAATCGTCCAAGTACCTAGCGCATAAGACAAAAGCAGCGTAAATTCATTATAGATGAAAAATAGTGTAATTAGAAAAGAAAAAAAAATTAAGCACGCTACACTTGCACGCTAGTTTCTTCTCACCAATGTGTAAGATATATACATAATTATATAAATATAACGAAATACGTAGCGAAGAATTATATAGATTTTTGTCTGTCGTCGTTATATATTATTATAGCGCACAAATACCATCATGTAGCTTTTCATTCGCTCGCCCACTATCGAGGAGGACATTATATATACGTACATACTGAATTCAGTATGCAGTAAACCACGCAACTTATAACAAAGATCGTTTTTTGACTGATTCATTCGTTTTGAAAAATTTTTTCTCTACTTGCGACAATAATTAAACGATTGATTAATCGAAAGAAATAATTTTAGTTGCTTATGTAATGTAATTCTCGTTTACTGCGTACGGAAAAGGCAGAGACAATGAAAACAATAATAAAAACAAAACGAGATAAAGACTGATCATCTGGTTGACGATCTTAAAATAGGACTGTTCTCTTCTTTCTGTCTTTTCTTTCTATTCTGATCTTTCGTTTGCAACGTAATAAAAAAATCACGACGAGGAGTGCATTTTTTGGCACGTGTAATAGTTCAAACATTCCCACTACTTTTCTAGCGAAGGAATAATTAATGGAAAACAGGCAAAATCGCAGATAAATACGCCTCCCAGTCAAAGTAATTTTCTACGTTTATAAAAGCCAAAAAATTCTACATATGCATGAACGCATTTTGCGACAGAATGTCAATAAGAAATTTTCTATATTTTAAGCCACAGCAGACAATTAAAAAAATATAAAATTCGAAATCAAGTTGAATAAATGATTCAGTGTTGGAAATCGACGCTAGATAGTAGATTACATGGCGTTTCTATCATTTGTTTTTTGCGAATGGAATCTGTCTATGTATATTCCTTTAATGCTTTGTGATGTAGATATTTATTATCTCTATTATTAACAGTTTTTCAAAATTTATTCACTATCAATGACTTCGTGATTATTAAATGTGATAGATTGTCTTGAAAAATTTAGATCGCAGCAAAGTTTCTAATTGTACTACCAACACTGATCCATACTCTTGCAATTAATTCTAAGTGATATCGAGAATAAATCTTACAGCAAAAAAATTTTAACACGTTCTCTGGAAGATACATTTTACTCGAATCGCACGGAGGCGTGCATTGAAAAAAAATGCGGTTATTTTGAGCTTGCACCATTTGTCAATGTTTTTTTCCTCTTTTATATATGTATAACGGAAATCGAGAATCGAACGAAAAAAATATTTTTGGTTCCGGAAATAAAAACGAATATTTGTTCCTAGTAAGTTTAATAATGCGAGACGAAAACTAATGTATATCGTGCTCTCTGTCTTTGTCTCTCTTGTTCTGGTAACTCACCAAAATGAGATGATCCTCTCAAATATTGATTTAAATTTTTTCGACGTATTTGTTTTTCGAAAAAAACAAATGTTGTTATTTACTTTTTGACGAAGTGTTTAAATATAATGCCGTTTATAAATATTGAAATTCTTATTAATGCTGTCAATTGTTATAAGAATATTGTATTATATAACTTTTACACGAATCATACAAACTTTAAAATTGAGAGGATCATCTATTCATTTTTTTATGTATTCAAATCGCAAAATAAAAAAATTTTTCATTCATAGTGAGCTGTAATGTGCGTAAACAAGCATCATTTTTTGGGATCAATCCGTAATTTATATGTACCATGTGTATGTAATTTGTCTATTATCTGCCAATTACTCGCATTCTCTCCCTGTAATAATGAGAAATAATAGATTTTACCTGTATGGCTCGCGACTATTTCTAACGAAAAATAAAGCAATCCGTGAAATATTAGCTGGTGAACTGTACAATAAAAGCAGTGTTGAGCGGTTTTTAGATTATTTTTCTAACTATTTTACATTTACTCTCTCATTTCCAAATTATGGAAATAAAACAAAGATCCATTAATTTTTCAAACAAGTTCCAGTAAAATTACAAATTGAAGGAATTGCATGTCCGGAAATCCAATTGATTCTTGCAATTCAAAGTCGAAAAGTCCAAGAAGAAAAAAAAGAAGCGCTCAGACAAACAAAAGCAACAATTTGCCGATATATATATCGCAAGCGCGTTTGTTTAGTTTAGTACGTATAGAATGAAAAAAAAGTGAACACTAGATGAACATTGAATGTAAATAGATGAAAAAATTTTATATCCGCGCGTGCGCGTAAAATTATATGTAAATACATATGTAGGTTTCGAGGCGAGGCATTATGATGGGAAGGAAGGGTAATATTATTGTACGGAGAATTTATAAAGAAATTCGAAAGATGCCGCGTCGAGCTGCTATCACGCAATGTGATTCGACTAAAATGAAATAAACTGTAATTTAATTTTTATGAAATCGACGAGAGTTGTAATAACTTGCGAACAAAAATGTTTTGAAGCTAATAGCAGTGTCGACGAATTTCAAGTAGCCAATTCACACTACTGTATCTGCAATTATAGATGCAAGCAAGTGCACACACACAATTACTTACACGCGCATATACTGACTGGCGATATCCTCATACACACACCACACACACACGGTGCTTTATTGGTGATGTGAGCGCTGAAGACGGGGTCCCATCTCCCCTATTATGTAGCTATATTATTACATCCGCACGCTTATGTGATATATTCTGGTGTACAATTTTTGATAGATTTAAAACAAAATTTTTCATTCCAGAACTCTTGCATAAATACAAATTGTATGAGTGTACTTTTTGAGCCTTTATTACAAAACGATTTTGAAAAAATTGGTGCTTCAAATTTATACGTGCCGTTCGAATTTTATGAGAAAAAAGAGATTAGAAAATTATATTAATTATTTGTTATTATATTCACTGATCGTCGAAACAATAACAATAGTTACGTATTGAAATACATAGGTTACAAAATGAACCGCAAACATACGTAGCGGTCGCAAAAATAATAACAAGATCTTCGATGACAACGACAACAAAGATTTGTTTCGTACTTTACATATGTATAATTCATCTGGAGTTGATTGCTTTAGTTTCCAATAATATTTATCAAAATCAACAAATGTGTGTATAGATACGATTAGGATACAAACGCTCGAAGCACGCAGGAGTGCTTACATAAAAAATGTAGTAGTGAAAACAATATTTGGGGCCCTGCACTGTAGAAAAAAAAACAAAAAACCAATAATCGTAGTTAGTAGGTAGAGTTTATTATTAGAATTTTTTGCGCGGGCAACGTTGCAAAAATCTCATCGTTTGATGAGGAGAGTATTTTAGCCAAGTAAACGCGCAGAAGTATTCATAAAGGTTGCGAGCGCAATTAATATTTGATTTTCATGATAAAGAAATTTAAGGAATAATGGCAGATTTGTTTACTGCCCCATCGCTGATGAACTATATATATATGAGTTTCAGATAGATATATATGCGCACGTTTCTCTGACGTCCGGGTTCCAAGCAAATGTCGCATATATACATATGTTATACCCGATTCAATATTGTCTCAAATAAAAAGCGAGTTTTTAGAAATTATGGATATTTTTCATTTATTTAGCACAACCCTTATCTTATGTAGCTTATTACCACAGAAACATTTTGATTTTTTAAAAAACAAGAGGAAAATTTTATAATAATGACATTTATCTGGAAATTTATGTTACGATTCTTGAACAACTTTACGTCGTATTATTCAAGAATATCTTGAGACTTGATTTAATCTTTGACTTTGAATATTGACCTTTTTCTAAAGTTCTATGTTGACCCGAATTCATATCCGTATTTAAAAAGTGATATAATTTGCACACAATTAATTACACGTGTGCTAATATAACGATCCTGAAATAATACGATCCAAACAGAATATTTATACGTGTATTTTGTCATCGACAAAGTCGGCAAATAAAAATGAATCAATAAGCGTAACCTCAACAGAGAAAAAGCGAGGTGCATTTTCATAATTCGTCACAGTAATGTAATATTTGCATAAACTTCGAACAATGGAACTGCACAAGCTTACCTTAAAAGTCGTATGCTTTGACTTACCGGAGCAGAGTATTGACGATGGTATATATTGGAGCTGTTGAGAAATTCTAAATTTGTACATTTATGACTGACAAACGTTAATCATGTAGCATAAAGATAAAATTCATAAAAATTAAGATATATATAAAACCATCTGCGAGTGCATTTGAAGTTCATTGCATTCTTGTTCAACATGAGGCCATTTCCAGTCAGTTTAGCAATTTTGGTAAAACTTTTTAATGCTTTCATTATCGACACAAGGGAAAATAATGAATTTATTCTTTCATCTTCGTTTAAGATTCACCTGCCAATCGTAATCGGCACTCTCAGTTCAAAAAGATTGACCAGCAATTTCAACAAAAACGATCCCGTATTGTTGTAATATACCTTTTACTTAATTATACTTAATCATCCGAGCTACGAGAATATGTGCTTATTATTTGTTCGATTCAGGCTTGAGTTTCAAGATTTAAAAGCAAAACATAATCCGCTGAGTTTTGGAATGGGATATCCAGACTTCAATCCTCCTAAAATTTTACAAAAAGCTCTGGCAAGAGCTGCAGTAAGCGACGATTACGAATTGAACCAATATGCCTCGAGCAGGGTAAGTATATGACATTTTCGAATCTATATACAATCCGAATACCAAGAGAACGTCGGAAAAGTTCTAAATGTCGAGGAATCTGAATAATCGATGTAACTCGGGAGGAAGAAGTCTATTAAATTCATATTACACTTCGGGATGGATGATAGTTGATCGTGAACGCTGATAAATTTATTTAAAAATTTACATAATTACCAATTAATTCGGAGCATCATTCGATGCTTCTGTTCGACGTTGACAGGGCCACCCAAGGCTGCTGAAAGCCGTGGCTGCTTTCTTTTCCAAACTTTTAAATCGAACATTGAATCCAGACGAAAACGTTGTAATAGCTGTTGGAGCGCAAGAAGCTATACATGGAATTTTACAAGCACACACAACTACAGGCGACGAATGGATTGTATTTTCACCCTATTTTTCCTATTTCGATCCCATTATCAAAGCAGCTTATGGAGTACCAAAATACATACCCTTAGTGTCGGTAAATTACGAGCACTCTTTCTTGTTTTCTTTTATGGAAGCTTCAAACAATTTCATTCGAATTTTTCTAGAGCAAGACTACGGGGAATATCACGTCGTCCGATTTCAAATTCGACAAAAAGGACTTAGCGAGTTTGTTCAACCATAAGACTAAAGGTATACTAGTAAACACGCCGCACAATCCGACGGGAAAGGTGTTCGACTATGAAGAACTCGCGTACATCGCCAACTTAGCTAAAAAGTGGGATTCCATCGTTATCCTCGACGAGGTCTATCAGTTTTTGAACTACGGAAACCAACAACACCTGAGACTAGGTTTCATTTCGCGCACTTAATCGCGGTGCGATTTTGATTGTATTAATGCTTGCAGCGACTTTCCCGGGAATGTTCGAGCGTACGATTACAGTTGGGTCCGGCGGCAAAATGTTCAGTGCCACGGGTTACAGAATTGGTTGGGCATACGGACCCAAGGATCTCATTAATAACGTAAAACTAGTCAATGGTTTCGCTGTCATGAGTGCGCCAACGCCAATCCAGGTAGATGCGAATTTCGGAGACGAAAATGCCAGTAATAGAGTAAAAGTCGCGACGAATTGTAGGAAGCTGTCGCAGTCGCCATCGAAGAGGAAGACGACAATTACGGCAAGCCCGAATCGTATATCGAACAACTGAGGAGAGAGTCGGAGAAAAAGAGAAATTTCATGTACAAGATTTTAAGCGACGCCGGAATGACGCCGGTTTTCGCAGAAAGCGGTTATTTCATCATTGCAAGGTGGAATACTATGGTCAATACTTTTCAACTGCATAGAAAGTCCGACGAACCTGCGGACTACTCGTTCGTCAGATGGCTAATAAAAAATGTCAGTGTATTTGCGAATCCACTGTCCCGGTTTTATACATCTGACATCGACTCGCACGTAGAAGAACATTACATTCGTTTCACCATGATTAAGGTTTAGTCTGTTCTTTGCGCAAGACACTCGATATTGTTATTATCATTGTTCGCTAGAATAATGGTATTTTGGAAATTTCAGAAGTGGGAAACGCTTGGCCAACTAGATAGACTACTGAAAAAGTGGAAATCACGAAGATCGTTAAAACAATAACTAGTTTTCCTAGTTTTATAAAATGTTGGTGTAATCGGCGAGATCTCAGCTGATTCTTACTTGGAGTTCACGGAAAATCTATTATCACATCTTTTCTTAATTAACAATGTGCAATTCGAGTATTCTTTTATTTGAATGACATCAATAAAACAGTACGGCATAGTTGCCAATACTCTTGCAAAAAAATATATTTCAAAATATTCTAGAGAAGCATCGCGGCGGCGCGTCGAATTTCGGAATTTTATGCGTCGTATGCTATTTCCATTCCATGGCTGATTCAGACGCGAGTGTCGGGCACGCGAAAAGCAGAAAAAAAAATATGCACCGACGAAGAGTCATCAGCGGCAACTTTTAGTTTAGAGCTATAAAAAGCTGCACAGCTAAAAATCGCGCTGCTCGCTCTTCTCCCGCTGAGCGAGCTCGTGCGACTCCGTCGTATATAGCAATGTCAAGATATTGCCGTAATTAAAATGTACCAGCGCGGGCTTCTTCTCCACGTTGACGTGCCCACTCTCGCTTCGAGTCGTGTTCGCTGACCTTTTGCGTTCGGTTTGATAAGGTATTTTGCAAATCGCGTAGGCTTGAGTTATACATGCAACGATATACTTTGCGAATAATCGTTACGGGAAACTTGTTTGAGCATTAAGCTAATATCTCCGTGTGCTTGACATATGTTGAAAAAGTATATTTTCATTCAAAAGACATTTAATCGCGTTGCAGATGATAAACAAGAAAATTAGCGAATGATTCGTGCATGCGCGACTCATGGCCGTAGCCGTAAGCTACGATGTGTTTGTGCGGCTCATTGAGGAGGATGTAGCCGAAGCATTAGATGACATAATTGCTGATCGAGCTGAAGAGCTACGCTTGATTGGAGCTCGTAATTCAACGGACGAGTGTTTTCTTGGAGAGCGCTCTTTAGCAGCTCTTACGCACTACTTCAATCCTCGCAATTCCGGCTATCTTAGTTTGTTATTATGGTAATTGCACTGTTAAACAAAGTTTCTTTTTAAACTAAAATCGTGTGCAGTCTTATTATCGCAACCAGATTTCGACATTTTTTGGTCATATAAACGATTTTTAGTAAATTGCAATTTTTATTTAGCTATTTTGCGTTAAATACTTTTACCGTCAAAGTTCGAAGCGTTTATTAAGAAAGTTACAACCGCTTATAATTTTGATTGTAAAAGAATTTAATTTTAATATAATATACAATCATTAATTTGTATCTTTCTTTTAGGTTCCTCCTCGGACTGGGAATCGGATTGATTGTTCATCATGCTAAACTCTTACCAATTTTTCTTATTATATGCTTCATTCTAATAGTAGTTCTGGTCTCATTTCCATAGTAATTATATTTATGAAGATTAAATTTGTTAATAGATTTTAAGAGTGAGTAAAGTTCGATTTCTTCAAATTATTACTAAATATAGATTATCCACTGTTTTTCGTTGAAAATATTTCAAATTTTATCATTCAAAGTTAAAAGCATTTGTTGCCATGTACAATTCAAAACACATAGATTAAAAATCATTTAAATTAACTGCTTACCATTTTACTATGCAAATATACTACATGTTTATTTAGTATGTAGAGTTTGGTTTACATACGTTTATTATTTAAGTTTTCATGAATCAAGTCTTTGATAAAATTATAGAACATTGAGTAGGTATTACATGACATTAATTAACTATTTCGATACTCCATGCGCAAAGTACGTCTTTCCCGCACGCTCGGTAGAAAACGTGCGTTGAAAATCACTCTTTCCACACGTCGTATCAAAAAATACGGTACGGCACATGTTCGGGAAAGAGTTTCTCGTCTCGTGTGGCGTTTACGCCCGAGCGAAGCGAGAAGAGATCTACTTTTCCGTACTTGTATCGTAATGTACTATTCCGCTTGCAATGAAAACCATATTGGAAAAACACGCTTAATATCTATGCTGAAAAAATATACACTGTAAATCACGAAACAAATTGTGCGTTTCTAATTATATACAGTCTACAACAATGCAATATCTGATCGTATTTTTTTGCCAGCAAAGAGTATCTTATACTACAATTATTTCATTGAAAAAAGAAATAGTTTATTTACAGCTATCTATATATTAAATATAAAAAATATCTGTATATTTATTATCATTTTGCAAAACATATTTTCTCTTTCTCTCTCTCTCTCTCATCTATTCGCAGTAATAAGTATAAAATGCCTAAAAAAAACATTTTTTTTGTTCTTTCTACGATTTAGCAATATTTTTGCAGAGGTGCATTTTTTAATTCTTTACTCGAATGAAAAAAAAGGATAATTAAAGATCGTTTCGACGTTACCTCGAATATCATAAGGCTAAATTAAAATTAATCAAAAACCTTAGACTTTATCTTGTACCTTGAAAATTCGATTATTACGTACATTAAAAGAAATGTAAAGTAACATTAAATTCATTATTTGAAAAGTATATCTAAATCTCATTTCGATTTGCATTGAAAATGTTTGATCTATTCCGCAGTAGAAGTTTGAGATTTCAAAAGGCCATTTTTTTTCTGCTCTGTTAAATTATCTTTTGCGTTCTTATCCGGCGGCGGTGGCTCGCTAGAATTATGTTTTTTTCTGTGAGACATCATTGTTGATCTCGATACGAATGATTTGCCGCAAAGATCACACTCATAAGGTCGTTCACCAGTATGCAACCTTTTGTGTATGGCCATTGGACTGAACTGAGTAAACGTTTTGCCACAAATCTCGCACCTATAAGGTCGTTCGCCAGTGTGCGATCGTCTGTGGCAACGTAATGCTGAACGCCTCGCGAAAACTTTGCCGCATAGATCGCATTTGAAGCTTTTCTCACCGGTATGCATGGTAGAATGAATTTTCAAATCGACCCTTGTTAGGAAACCTTTACCGCAAACCTAAAATGAAAGACGTAAAAAATCTATCCACATGGTTATTACAGTAGTTGCATTGCATTATATATTCATCAAAACTTACCTCGCAAAGATACGGTTTCTCACCAGTGTGAATCCTCATATGAGTATTGAGATAACTCTTGCTAACAAACATCTTGTTACATACAACGCAAGGATACTGTCTATTATCAGTGCCAGAATGTATTCTCTGATGACTTTTGCAAAGTCCTTTAGTGATAAAACCTCTTCCGCAAATTTCACATTTGTACGGTTTCACACCCATATGGCGATTCTCGTGATCGAGTAGTGACTGTTTTGTCTTGAAATTTTGACCACAGGTGGAACACGAATATGGCTTAACATCTGAATGAACGCGTTGATGTACGATAAGGTAACTCTTACATTGGAAGCCTTTACCGCAAGTCGAGCAATTGTAATCAAATTGGCCGGTATGTGTTGCCGTATGTTGAGCTAAACCAATTTTACTGCGAAACGCCTTTTCGCACAATTCGCACTGAAATGGCTTTTCACCGGTATGTCTTCGCATATGTTCCTACGATGCCATAAAAATGTCATTGGCGTGTACTTTATATGAAATTTGTTATGCTCAAATGAAAACGTACCTGTAGCTTATAATTCGTTCTATATTCTTTGCCACAATGTGAACAAACTTTAGGCGTCCACTTGGGTCTGTTTCCTTGTTGTTGTTGCTTTGCATCATCAGCCAGTAAATTTTGCGCAGTATCATCTGAGCTTCTATCAACGTCGACTTTGTGCTTACCTTCGACGCACTCTTGTCTATGAAGATTCAACACATCCAGACTTGTAAAATAAGCATCACAGTGTGGACAGCTGCAGAAGTGCTGCTCAAAATGAACCGCAAAGTTATTTGGCTCGGAAATACCATCGTTGCAAAATGGACATATGTACCTGAAATTTTAGTTTAAGTTATGAATTTGTATAAAAAAAACTTATCGTCCAGGATAATATTGCACAACTCACCATTGAGCATCAGTTTCATCAGCAGTAAGATTGCTGAGCGCGCTCGTTAGCAGAGCATCTTTTGTTTCTTTTGTATATTGCAGTAAAATTGCATGCGTAGTGTTACTATGGCTTGTCGACGGTAAGGTAAACGTTTGATGAGCATTGACATCGACGTTCAAAGGATCGTCGACATCGCTCTCAGCTCGCGAAGAAGGAAAACTACTTTGTTGCGGGTGTGACTTGCGAGGATTGGGTTGTATACCTAGAGTCGTCACGTATTCGATACCCAAGTGACTCAAATGATGACCAGCTGCTGTCAAATTTTCTACTGTTACAGCCATGTCACTGTCTAAATGCATTGCTATCTCTTGGTTGGAAACCTTAAATAAAAAAATTTTCGTTGTGTAGGAATAATCATAATTTGAAACGTGTTAGTTTTAACAAGTATTTGGAAAGTGTTTCCTCAGCGATCCAGCAAGCCACAGGCTTAAGCTGGAGCGGCCAAAGTTGTCGTCACTGACAATTTGCGAGCAAGGATATAACCATCATGGGAAACAATTGTTGTAAATATTGGAAATTTTTAATATTAGAAAACAATTTTTGTAAATATTAGAAAAAATTGAAGTATTTGTACCTCTGTTATTTGCTCATTCACCATCCTCACTGTTTCTCCATCTAAATGAAAAGCAGTCACTTCTAGATCAGTCTCTTCTTGGCTTAAATCATCTTGATTTTCATCTTGTTCTCTACTAGACATACTATTAATATTATCTATGACTGGTATGCTATGAATAACATTTCTTACACTATGCCTTGCAACACTGGAATTTTGTATACTGTTGATGTTACTTATACTCTGAATATCATCCATTGTAACATTATTAATATCATGATCAACTTTTGCAATTGCTTTGAGCATCTGCATAAACATTCCTTCAGTCTGCAAAACTTTTTCACGAAAGTCAAATAGTTCTTCTACTTTCGAAAAACATTCTTGACAAATCACTTTTGGTAATTGATCTGTCATTGAAATCTACAAGATATATTGATATAAGATTTGTTGTTGTATAAAATCTAATAAGAATGTGAATGATATACCTGAACAGGTAAGCAAGCAGCAATTTTTTTATGTAAATTCCTCACATGATCATTCTCTTCAAAAATGGGTAGACCCATAAGAAGATTTATTTTTGTGGCACATAATCGGCATAAATAATCAAGGTCTTCCATCTCAGACATTTTTACAACTATACAAGGCCCACAAGGAAAAATTTATCTTAAATAACAATAACCTTAGGTAGGAACGTTAAACATCTTCAAAAATGCACTGATTGCGTTGCCATTGTTAATACTTATTGTCTGAAAACCCTTAAGAAATTTCTATAAATAAATAATATTTGTAAACATAATCACAAATATATGCAATATAAACTAATACCTGACAAATAAGTGTCTAACAACAAAAGCATTTGTAATAATTGCAACAGTCACTAAAAAAATTATCTGGAATATGTATTGAATAATTTTTATTTAGTAAAATTTTCAATTTTCATCTCATTATAAAGCAAGTTTAGTTCAATAATACAAAAAATATTATGAATTCATTCTTTTTAAGGGTCATGCTTAAAATATTTTTCAAAGTTTAATATTTATAAATATCAGTCGAAACATAAAAATAAAGTATAATAAACTTTAAATCTTCCTTACAATCTACTTGGAGTTTATCGGCACGCTGTTACTTCCAAATCTTTTCGCAAACAGGTTAGAAAAGGGAGACGCCAAGTTGCATATGATTGTTGAAAGGATAAAAATTGTCGTTCAATGCACCAATATTCCATTCAGTTGATGCTATACAACGATAAAAAATGATCTCACTAAGGGTTGATGTATGAAGGCACGAAGATAAAGTTGTCTTTATTCTCTCATCTCGTGTGTACTGTGTAGTTATGTCTCCGCGGCTGATTCTTTTCCTTGAAGGCAATTCTAATAACTGTCTACTTGTATAGGTATCTCTCCCTCTCTCTCTTTTCTTCTTGGTTGGAATACCTATATACATCATTTCTGGTTTATTGCTTTCTTATGGTTCGGTGACGATCAGTTTGAATAAGACAAGTCAAATCTTGCCAGCCTTTCGATCCTTATACTCCATTTGAATTTTTAAATTGACTTTAGTAAATTCGCTGCTTTTTTAATTACTACCTAATCCTAATTGTTCGGAAATATTATATGTTGAGCTGACTTAATTATATACTCCAATACATATTAATCCTTAAAAATCTATTTGTATGGATTTCCTGCTCAATTGTAATAAATTGATATTTAAAAATAATAACTGCATATCGGAGTAAGTTTATTTTTATATTTTAATGCATCGATTTAAAATTGCGCAAACTCAACAAGATAACGGATACTGCGTTAAATGACGTCAGTATGCGGCACTTACATTATAGAGGTACAGTTTCACAGTTTGTTTACACGTTTGTTATATGATGGCTGCTACCGGTAGGCATAATGTACATTACAATTTGAAACGAAAACATATTGAAGATTATTCGAGTGACGAAGATGGTACGTTATCTTTGCATTATATTTTAAACAATGATCTTGATCATCACTGAGATTTTATGTGTGCTCAAAGAGTTTTTTGTTTTTGAGGTTAGGATGTATGAATGAAAAATATATGTTTATCGATATTTATTATATTTGTAGATAATTCCAAACAAGCAAAATCAAATGAACCAAGATTATGTCCATATTTAGATACCATTAACAGACAATTTCTGGATTTTGATTTCGAAAAGTTATGTTCTGTGTCACTCTCAAGAATAAATGTGTACGCTTGTTTAGTATGTGGCAAGTATTTTCAAGGGAGAGGAACAAATACTCACGCTTATACACATAGCGTTGGAGAGGGTCATCATGTATTTTTGAATTTGCAGACACTAAAGTTTTATTGCTTACCCGATAACTATCAGATTATAGGTAGATATGCCAGTTAATTTTTTACAAGCACTGTTAAATTTTTAAATGAAAATCTATTATTCTAATAATGTTGATAATTTACAGACTCATCTTTAGATGATATCAAGTATGTTCTCAATCCGACCTTTGGTAAGAATCAAATTGCAAAGTTGGATAACAATGATAAGATGTCAAGGGCTATTGATGGTTCCTTGTATTCACCTGGTATAGTTGGTATGAACAACATTAAAGCCAATGATTACTGTAATGTTATTTTACAGGTAAATATACAATATTTATTTCATGCAATCAATTAGGACAAATTTCAATGTAAAGTATAAAATTTTTCAGTCATTATCTCATGTCACTCCACTGCGAGATTACTTTTTAAGGGAAAGCAATTATGCTAAAGTTAAGAGGCCACCTGGAGATTCACATTATCTTCTTGTACAGAGGTTTGGGGAATTGATGAGAAAATTGTGGAATCCTCGTAATTTTAAAGCACATGTTAGTCCACATGAAATGTTGCAAGCTGTTGTACTATGGAGTAAAAAAAAATTCCAATTTACTGAGCAAGGTAATAGTAAATTTCGATAATTGTGCGAGGAAATGATTTGAATCTTGTATAGATGTTTGTGCCTGAGCTAAGCCAGAATGAGGAGGCAACACGAGTATGAAATCACTTTTTCGCGCATACATCTAACTTTATTTTTCGATACGACGTGTGTGGGGTGAGATTTTAATCATGCTCGATTTCTCAAGCGTACATAAAGTTAAGTCACCATGCACAGAATATAGAAAACAAAATATTTTCTCATATTCATCAAATTCAAAAGCTTTTTGTCAATTTATTACACAAATTCTACACTTACAGAAAAATAAACTATGTATTTTATTGTTATATATATTTTATTGTTTTCATAGGCGATCCTATTGATTTTTTATCTTGGTTCTTGAATGAACTTCATATGGCATTGAATGGAACAAAGAAAAAAGATTCTAGTATAATTTACAAGACATTCTTAGGACATTTGCGAATTTATACGCGTAAGATTCCACCTCTCGAATTGGAGGAAAAACAGAGAAGTGAATTGTTAAATACAGAGGAGTACAAGGAGACTGTAACAGAAAGTCCTTTCCTATTTTTAACATGTGATTTACCGCCTCCACCACTTTTTAAAGATCAGTTTGCAGAAAATATAATTCCACAGGTGATATTATCATTAATCATTAATCATTTGTAGCATTTAATATCATAACTCAATATCAATTAAATTGAGTTATTTTTACAGGTCAATTTATATACTCTATTGAGTAAATTTAACTCGCAATCAGAAAAGGAGTACAAAACTTATAAGGAAAATTTCATGAAAAGGTTTGAAATAAGGGAGCTACCACCTTTCTTGATTTTGTACATTAAGGTAACAAAATTTCATCAGTTCTTATTATAATTTCTTGATTCAAGATTCAGTAATACTAATAATATTATGTGTTTTTAGAGATTTACAAAAAATACATTTTTCGTTGAGAAAAATCCAACAATCGTAAACTTTCCCGTTAAGTGAGTATAATGACCATTTTGTTAAGTGTTTTTCAAAGCAAAACTAATTAATTTTTACTTTACAGGAATGTTGATCTTGGAGATATTTTGACACCAGAGGTGAAAGCCATGCACCCTCATACATCTTATGATTTGATTGCTAACATCGTCCATGATGGTGAGCCAAGTCATGGTACTTACAGAGTGCACATTTTACACAAAGCTACTGGACAGTGGTATGAACTTCAAGATCTACACGTCACACAAATACTGCCGCAGATGATCACTCTTACAGAGGCTTATATTCAAGTAAGTTTTTAAATTGTTGTTTATAAAATATTGACTCATTAAGTAATGAAGCAATGTAGATGTAACCCGTTTTTATCGTTTCCAGATATATGAATTAAAAAAAGAAGAAACAACTGATGGGGAAAATGGAAAAACTCAATGACCAGAAAATGCTTAATTGTTTATTGTCTGGATTTACAATTTGTAAATATTTGAATAAAATTAATTTTAAGCAGACTGATAATTTTTCTTGTATTTTTCAGATCTATAAAATTTCAGCTGTAAATCAGATATTAGAGAATATCTGATTGATTTTAGATCAATCAGATGATTTTAGAAAATATTTTACTCCAAAAATTCAGCAACTCAATTTTATTAAAATTATTATAGATCTAGGCCTTTTAGTAATAATTAAGTTTTTTTTCACTTGATTAAGGATACATAAAAAAATAAAATTGTGCATGCATGTGCGTCAACTAATTTTAAAGACACTAAAACAAAATAAATTTCGATTAATTTTTGAATTGATGCTTATTATTAATAAATTAATGTTCAAGATTCAAGATTAAGTAAAATTCATTATAATATACACAATGCATATACATATACGCTGACGTTAAAAAACTCGAGAAAACGCGCACGCGTTCCCCGAAGCGCCGTCTATCGGCAACCCAACGAACCGTCTATGAAATTCGGAATTCCGCGCGGCGGGCGGCCTTTCTTCAGTCGACTCGCGTTGCTTAGTTCGCGCGGTACTGTATGTTGTATAAGAGCTAGTGGGGCGACGATCGAGGAAAAACCGGATAGTAAACGTAAAGATAGTGCAGTGCAAAATTCTCAAAAAGGAATTGAAAACGTGAACAGTGTTATATTGCAAGAATTTAAAAGTCTCGGAAATATTAAAAGAACAAGAACATAATCGTGTTCATCGTCGTCGTCAACGGTGAGTCTTTCGAGAAAAGAAGCAAGAGAAAGAGAGAAAGACAGTGTGGCGAAGGTCGCGCACTTGCCTGCTGGCGTTTAACGGTCCGCCGATATGTATGGCTAACCTTCACGCACATGCGACCGTTGCATGTGCATCGCGAAGATACTTATTTTGGGGCTTCTTGTTTTTTTTTTACTTGGCAACCAAGAGGTTAGAGACGCGACGCCGCGTTGCTGCTCGCTCGGTGGTGACAGTAGCTGCAGTATGAGAGAGGGAGAACAGGTTGCAAACAATCGGCTGAGGGAAAACCTGTTCCCTCTTCTTTGCGAGAGCGAGTTTCAATGCTTTTCGAGAAATTCTTTTGTTTTTGCTCACTGTTTCACTCTTGTCTATAGATCGACTTTTACTCTTTATCACTTTTTGTTTAATCAAAACAATGAAAACACATGGATACCAATTTCATTCACTCGTTTGCGAGAATTCATAACACTACGTGAATTGAAACTCAAACAAATTTGAAGAATGTATAATAATCTTAGACATTCAACATTAGTCGTTCTCACAAACCGGATAACTTCGAAAGTAATGCGCGAGTAATGAAAGACGGAGCAGTTCTGAAAAATTACACGATCGCAACATACACTTTGCTAACTTGTCAACGAGAGGAAAAAAACGGAGTAACTCGTCAGTACCCCGTAAATCTAGCTTCGGGTTTGATTAATTAACTGTTATATCTGAGTGCACTACGTGCAATGCGTTCAGACGAACGAGTGTTGGTGGTATACTCTACACCTCTATCTGTAAGCTTAAACTAGTATTATTGCATGTGCTAAACTCGTATATCCATTTTAGCCGGATTAATTAAGATTTTTCAGAATCGGAGTAACGCGACACCTCGAAATCCTGCGAAAAGACCAATTTCTCGTTTTCATTTTTTTCGCGCAAACTATGCTGCGCTTACCTGCTGCTGATTCGCGTAATACGACGCGATTTCTTGGTAGTGCACGGTGTAGAAGTTTTTGTAATGGACTACTTATGTTGAGTTCAATGATTTGCGATGAATTGATGGCTTTTATGTTGATGGTTCACGAAGTTATTTTAGTTTTTGATGACTCCTATTTAGTTTTTAAAATACGTTAAACAGATATAATATTGAAGAGTACTTTCGTTTATTCCGAAAAAAACTACTGTACATTGTAGGATCAATTAATAGCACACTGTACAGTTGTAATTTAAAAAGCTCTCAATCTGAAGTTGTGAGGGTTGATTAAAAGTGTTTCTTGGAAAGTTCATTCAATGTGTATATATACCTTACTAGAAAAACTTCATCGCGAATGCATAATGAGTTCTCCATTTTTAGACGAACAGTCGCTATTTCATTATGGTTTTTTAGCCTTTTATTTTAAATTCAACCCATGATTTTCTTTCGCGTTCAGAAGCAATGAATCATCATCGTTCAATTTCTAAAGTTTAACGGCTGAATAATACACACGTTGTTGAGGTGATGATCATTGCTTTCTCTGTTATTGATGCTTGAGCACGCATTTGCGCTTTACAGATGGCGAAGCAAATCATTATTAATTCTTCGCCATACTTTCTCAGAACTTCGTTGTATCTCGTTATCAACTTGCAGTGTATTTTAATGTATCAAGCGCGCTTGGAAGAGATTGATGATTTGATTTTTAGTGCAAATGAAACGTCTGTAATTCACGACATTATCTTACAAGACAGCAGACCTTCGAACCTTGACTGTATCGTACCTCAAAGGTTTTTTTTACTAGTCGAATGTTTCTTTTGAGCTGCATATAAATAAGCATATAAATAACCGAGTTTACGATACTAAGTATGATTAAGATGCTGGTCTTTGTGTCAAGATTCTCTGGGATATTCGGATAAATCATTTTTTTTTAGTTTCATAAGATTTATTGAAGCAGTATAAATAAATGATAATGGGAATTCCTATTACTAGGCAAAGGTCAGTTTTTTTAATTCGTTTTGTAACTATTTTTCCTGAATTCAAAATTTGCAAGCATAATGTTTGAGAAATCAAATTTTTTCGCAGATGTTATAAACCGTAAGCACCACGTTATATTGCTAACAAAAAGTAAAATCACAATACATTTATCATGGTCTATAATCAGATTTGTTCGATTCTGAGAATTCTCTATTTCCAGTATGAAGATTATTCGAGTGAATGATAAAAGTTTCAGTATACCAATTCGGTTAACGATCGTGTAATTCGCATTCCAATTCAACCAAACGCTATTTAATTAAAATCAGTCCATCACTAATATCCCTAGTCGTAAAAGCGCAAAGAATTGTAATGAATATTCAGTATGTCGTGTACAATTTTTTATTCAAATCTGCATTGAACGACCCTAAAAAGGAACGGCTTGCATCTCGTACGTACACTTCTGTGTCGTGAACTCTCAACTAAACGTCACGCTCGCGCAAGTCTACCCTCCCGCAATAATTACACGCAGCTATATAGCTCTCCGGTGCTTTTTTTTTCTCTCACGGCCAGACGGACAGCCCGGGAGGGGGAAAAAAGCTGCCTCGCGAAAAACTGCGCGTGCGTGGGAGATGACTATTTTTGGTTGCGTTCTTTTTTCGCGATGAAATACAGCACGCTATCGTGCGCGCTTTCTTTCATACGCAACGCGTTGTCGATTAGAATTGCGTTGTTTTCTTTCTGATGATGAGCGCGCGTGATGAATTGGAGACGCTCAAGCGCGTAACATTCAAGATGTCTCAGAGGAATTAACATCGTCATTATAAAGGCAACACGCATTGCTTCGCAATATTTCGATGAAGCTGTTGTCGCTGTTCACCGCGCACGTGCGATCTCGCAATCTACCGAATATAAAAACACAAATCTTCAACTTTCTAAACGCTCATGCGGACAATTCAGGAATGCCGAGGAGTCGTCGTCTATCCTATTTTTTTTCTCCTTAAGGCAACCACGAAAAGCATTTCCGTAGGGCCGGAATTTCTTTCCTCCGAGGTCCAAGTGGCATTTAACTCGTGAGATTAACGCGGAGAGAGGAAGGCGCCGACGGTGGCGGTAGAGGTATAGTGAAAATGGTCGGCAGAGTGAAAACAGAAAACCAGTTTTCGGCGCGACACTGATAGATAAGTGAGATGAGTCGCGTGGCTGACGGCTTTACGACTTGTCCTCTGATTCTTTTAGCTTGTGATGTTCGTCGCGCGCTATAACTGATGCGACGATTTGTGCGCCGACTTCGGTATTCCGTTTCTATGTTTTTTCTTTCAAGGGACGACTTTTTCCTTTCGTGCTTGCGCCCTGACTCATCCACGAGACTTGACATTTTTTAAAAAATTGCTCGTATGTGATGACCGCTAAAATGCTGTGGTGTTTTTTAAGTTCGCGGTATCGATAATACGCCCGATCGAGCGGCTGGTATTTTTCTAAAAAAAAAATAGTATTTGAATTTTAATAACGGTGGAAGTTATTTTATTAAATTTCAGCTTATCTCATTAATGGCTGAAAGAGGCCAATAAATTTTATTGATCAGCGAAACGCTATAAAATAAGTGCAAATAAATGTTGTTGGCTAGATAACAACGAATACTATATATTTTATTATTTATGCGCTCGAAAAATCTATTTGTTGTGTTCGACAACACCGTACGAAAAAAATGAGAGTTTACGAACTACGTTAATCTTCCTTGATCGACCAATAAATTAGCTTCATCTAATCCAAGAACTCGGCCGTCGAGTAAAAAGAGAGAAGATAAAAAGCCAAGCTTTGAAACTGTAATGAGTACAAAGCAGCAGCAGCGTCGATCGGGAAATAAAAATCGATCAGTGCTTTGCCTCAGTGGCGGCTCGTAAGCGCGCGAAGCTTTTCACACAAGCTGCTCCATGGCTCGGATACAGGCTTATAATATCGATAAAATTCCAATGAAGCGCTCTCGCTGGCCATTTTTTTTTTCTCTTTTTTTCTCACCTCTTTAAAACGTGCGCGAGAGGTCGTTCAACTGCCTCGCCGTTGTAATAATAGTTGTAAAAAATGCGCGATCGCTGATAAATTCTTTCGAGCCTGCTTGGGATATTCATCAGTTTGATTTGTGTAATGGACGAATTAACGCAAAAGCGCACGTAATTGAGTTTGCATTGCCGGGGATTACGAGCTGCACATATTGATATCGGATGATGATTTTGTGGTTCCGATTGGAAATAATCGAATCAACTTGACGAGCTGCGTAAGTAAGCTCTGGACGAGACGTTCGCGAACGTTGGTTTTTCTTTGTTTTTTTTTTCTACGCGCAAATGATGACAAGTCACAACGGTTAAAAGCTATTTGTATGACCATAGTCATCGGAACATATAGCTGCGGCGTGTAACGGTATGATTCGAAGAGGACTTGGCTTCGTCTGTAGCACTGCTACATTGCGTCGTGTCGATTTTTCAGCGAAATTTCTGCTGCTCTAATTGAATGATTAATTGGCGCGGCGGCGCGATGTAAAAAAGAATACCTTTGTATGGAGGACAAAAGCCGAGCGTACTTCTCAAGGCTACGCACGCAAAGGAAGAATTTTATCCTGCGTCGTCGGTTGGTGAAACTCCGGAAGAAGGAGAGAGGAGGGGACTGAGAATAGGGTTAGTGTAGCGGCAGGTGCTCCGCGCACTGCCTATATGTGCATTATATACCTAAAGTCGGTTTTGAATTTCTTTTATGCTTCGCTCTCCGGGAGGTCTTCATTGGTAGAGACGATTAATTACGCCGACTCTTCTCCGGTGACCTCTCTTCCTCGCTGCCAATCGACTGCTCGTCCCGTGCTTTCTTCATATATTTTCCGAGAGGTTGATCGACGTCGAAAGCGCGGGGGAATTGCATTCTAAGGCTCCTCTTAACAACAGATTCACTGGCTCATCGCGTGAATGCGCGCGCGAAACACGGTATAAAGCGCACTTCGGTCGACGATGTTTTTACAAGCGAGAGACGGAGAAAAATTTTCCCCTGCCTCTTGCGCGAACCAAGCAGACGAGAAATT